ACTTGTGGGGGGGTGATGAAGATTTTTTTTTTTCACACTGATTGCTTTTACACCCATAATAATGGCTGTAAAAGCAATCATTTCTCCTTCTCTCTGGCTGCATTCTTGCAGCCATTGAGAACTACTGTGTGAGCTGTGATTGGTCACAGCTTGTCACATGGTACAAGGCTGTTGTGAATAGCCTTGTTCCATGTGACCTCTGTGATCATTCACAGATTTCACACGTAGTAAGCAATGATGTCAGAAGTGACCTCTTGCTTACCACTCTGCATGTGATCACAGATTGGCCACTCAGTGATCACATGACCGTGACCTCGCACAGAGGTCCCGTATGACGATCGGTGTTGGACACAGCGGGCACCGAATCGCGGTGCTGCGCGCTCCCAAGCAGGAGGCGGTTTATAAGCGGCCACCCGACCCTGCACTGCCACTGTCTGGCTGTTTATATACAATGACCGGACGGGAGGTGGTTGAAAAAAAAAAAAAAAAATCCAGAACAGAGTTCTGTAAATGGGGAAACTACAGCTACCATCATCCTTTGCAGCTAATGGCTAGTAGTTTTCAGTGAAATACCAGAGCACTGGTGAGCACTCTAGGTAGTTCATTGATGCGTCCTGTCAGTGTATAACTGCCTACCTGTATGTACCATGAGGCATCTTTTAAATTGTCACTAGCATTGACTTTTTTCAGTATCCCTTGGTGACAGTGTTTTTTTTTTTTTTTTTTTGGGGGGGGGGGGTCACCTTCCTGGTGATCGCACCCTTGTTTGTGTTTACAATTTTCTTGTAGCAGGATGTGCTCAGAACCTGGAGGCTGAAGCGGTACTGCTGAATATAGGACTTGTTTTCAAGCAAAAGTACTTTTGAGATTTTTTTTTTCGGGTGGCACTAGTATATCATTTTTATTGAAAGTTCAGTTATTTTTAAGTGACACTTTCATTGCCCATAATATTTTCCATAGGTTTGATTTGAAAGTAGGATGTTCTGTTATAGAAAGGCGTTGTGTATTTTCGTTTTTTCCTGTTGCAGACAGAAAAGACCTGTAATAACTTGTAAGTGAGCCAGCAACTCCTACTTACCAAATAAATGTTCACATTCTGCTTCCAGAAGATGACTTGCTGGTTTCTCGGCACCACTTTGGAGTTGAAGACTCCTATACAGACCAGAATACCCAGCTGGTACATTTCCCATTTCAAGGCTTGCTGCTGCTGCTGGCAAATAGAAAATGATGATTTGTTCTAGAATGCTAGCATAGGATAAGTTATACAGAAAACAGATTTGGTGACGTATTTTAAGTTATTGCAAAGGAAACCGGATTGTTTCCAAATATTTTATATCCAGTTGGGGTAACCTAGTAAATGTAAATATATCAAGAGGTGCATGGGATGATGTGATCTAAACCAAGAAGCACCTGGTAAACCTTTACTTTAAAACTTATTTCAGGTACTTGTATAGCGCTGTCAATTTACCCTCAAGGGGCGTACAATCTAAGGTTCCTAACTCACATTCATACATACATATACTAGGGCTAATTTAGATGGGATCCATTTAAGCTACCAGCATGTCTTTGGAGTGTGGAAGGAAATCAGAGTACCCTTAGGAAACCCATGCAGGCACAGGGAGAACATGCAAAAGTGCTAACCATTTTGCCACAGTGCTGCGGCCTAAAGGGCTGCATTGTAAAGTTAAAGTGTTAGTAAATCCACAACAGTAAAATCACTAATAGCATGCTTGTAATACTTACTGTGGAACTTAAGGGGTTAATTCTCCGCATTGTGTAAATAGGATGTTTGATCCTGTCTTTTCTGATCCTCCCCCATCTACTGTCTCCAATCCATTTCCCGATAGAACAAAGCCTTTGGGCGCAAGCTGCACATGCTCAGTTTGGTGCGTATTGCTAGAGTTTTTGGTTTTCGAGAGCGGCCCTGTGCTGATCACATGCAATTGGCACTGTCCAGACAGAGGGTGAGGGGTCATGCAGCCGCCTCAGGGGAGAATGAAAACTACTAGCTGAAACCAGTGCTCTATTGGACATTGATAGAAGTCACAAGACTGCTCTAACTGCTGATGTGAAAAGGTATCTAGCAGTTTATATTTACTAAAATTATTGCATTTCCATGTTCCGTGTACTGTGGGAAACCAGATGTACTGAATGCAGGGTTCGGGGTTTAGTAACACTTGAAGCATTGATTTAGACTCGTGTGTAGTTACGGAGTACTTATGCAGTGCTTTTGAGACACTTGGTGCATCAAATTGAAAATTCTGGTGCTGAAACTGATACCAAAAACTCAGAATGCATGTAGCCGAGAACCTAAACCGAGATGTCTGCATATGTGGGGAGGCCACATTTTTTTTTTCTACTTGTATGTATATATTTTTTTTTTTTAACCAATGATTTTATTGCTATCACATAGAGGACCGATAGTCCCATATCTGATAGCATATAAGTGACAGATCCTCTTTGTAGGGGGAAGGGGGGGCAGTCTGTGCAAGGAGGGGGCAGGAGAGGAGCAGTGCATACAGAGAGGGCTCCCTCACTGGCCGTTACTATATGTCAGTGCCGGTTTTTAAATGCAATTGCTGGCTTGCTTTTTTTTCTTCACCATAGCTGTCACTTTCCCCAGAGCTAAAGAACACATTGTTTAGCTTGCGAAAGAAACTAAAAAGAAACTTTGTTTCTTTTATCTCAGGGAAAGTAACAGCTGATTCTCTGAGCTATAGTGAAGGAAAAAAAACCTGGCAATTGCATTTAAAAAGCGGCACCAACCTATAGTGATAGTCTGTGTACACTGCTCCTCTCCTGCCTTTCCCTGCATTACACTCAGTCCCTTGTATCGGGGAAATTTTTCCTATCGGCTACATACTGATAGCTATTTTTGGCCGATTATGTTTTGGTGGAGGAAATTTTGGTGCATCCCTAAGCTTATAGACTTGCAAAGTGAAAGAGCCATAAAGAACAGCTATTGTGTAGTACATTAAAGCAGGAATATTTAATACATTTTTCTAGAGTTATGACCCTGGTTGTGGAAGGCCTGACTCCTGAAGCCCCCTGTCCCTAAATCCTTGTCTTTCTCCTTCTCTTTGGAATCTTGAGTGTAGCTCTGCGGCACAAGGAGCTGGAAGCTGAGGGTTGTGGCCTAGGAGAGAGGGGAATGTGCAGCCCAGCCCCTTGGTCTGGGAGTGTCGCACATTATTTTCTCTGAGGCATTGATATTTTTCTGGCTGCATTGCTGTGTGCCGCAGGTCAGGACAGCGTGGGCAGACTGTAGCTTGTGCCACCATGGGAAATGCTAACAATGGGAAAGTAGCGTTGGTGACTGAGCCCACACCCGAACTTAGGAATAGAAAGCCCTATGAGACTGAGACTTGTCATGCAACTTGATGGATCAAAGTCAAGTCGCATGATTCTTGTGCAGTTTCATGTGTGGCCTTGACATCTGTGTAAATGAAGTCGCACTGATCGTCTGCTTTAAAATCGTGCCGAAGTAGCACAACTTCAAGCCCACATTGGTGTGAACTGGGTGTAAGTACTATGGCTGTGCTTTGTGGTTTAAGAGGCATGTCCAGATCTCCGGTGAGGCTGAGGAAGTCACTTGGTGTTTCTTCTTGTACTGCTGGACTAGGGGTCCACACGCAAAGGGGGGGATTTCATTGTGTCCCTACACTTCCCTCCCTAATTTGAATATTAGCCAGGCTGTGAGCTCTCCTGTTTTCTGTACTTCAAAAGTCTCCACAGCTGAAAAGTCTGCTTCCCAAGCTACTACAAATCCACCTGCTACTTCAGCCTCCAAATGTTTCAAGTGCTGTGGCTATTGTAATACTAGGTTGTTTGACTCTTATCCTTCGCTTTTCTGTAAAGATTGTATTAAAAAGCTGTCTGCATGGGAATCTTTATTGACTCGAAGATCCAAAATGTTGCCTATCTTCTTGTTATGTGTGCTTCTAATTACGAATTCTCTTTGCAACACTCCAGAAGATCTCAAAATCCTTATGTATCAAAGGATCGGTTCTAAGAGCTGTTCTTTTACAACAGCAGTCAATAAAGTTTGCATGTACCTTATAAAAAAAATTGTTGGATCTTAGGAATTTTTAAATCTCAGCACTCTTTACTGGTGACATGTCTATACAAGTGCATGAAACCTGTGTGTGAGAACAATGCTTTGTGTTAGATTTCCAGTTATGGATTTTTTGGGGGGGGGGGGGGGGGGGGGGGTAATGCAGTTTTACAGCTTCTGTTGTGAAAAGTATAGTTGAAAGCAGCTATGCACTGCAATTCTAGTTTTTTAATTTTAGTTTTTTTTCTATGCCTAGTTTCACAGGCATAGACATGAAGGGGAGGCTTCTCCAATGTGGGCATGACTATTCAGCCAGAGATTCTAACTTCTCCATTTAAAATAATAAACTTTTAGCCGAATTCTACTTTAAGGTGTATTTCTAGGTAACCTTAAAAAAAAAAAAAAAAAAAGTCAGTCCCTTTTGTGCAATGTGCGCATGGTTCCCCATTTTGTTTTTCTTTAAAAGCATTTCAAGTACAGAATGGTTAGTCAGCAAGAAAACCGGTGTGTTTCCAACACTGCCCCTGCAATAGATATTATATACAATAGTTATGCCTAAGTTCTATCTGACTGGACTACAGAACACCTACCTATCTATTTTATCAATAGAGGGAGCGGAGTTCCTTACACCATCAGAGTAGAACTTAGTCAGGGCATTGGTTATTTCAGTGCAGCAGAATTGTCAGCTCACCACAGAAACTTGGGAGCTTGCTGGGTTTCTGGCAGAATAAATGTGTATTTGTCTGTGCACACAGTATTTTTTTAAGAGATCTTTTTGCAGAAAATACATTTTTACTGTTGTGTTTTTTTTTTTATATATATATGTGTATGTATATATGTGTATATATATATATATATATATATATATATATATATATGTGTGTGTGTGTATTTGTAGTTATGTTTTGCTCAATGGTTTGGTCATTTTGATATGTTTCTCCCACAGCTGCGTCTTAACAGCATTAAGAAGCTGTCTACTATAGCCTGGCTTTGGGTGTGGAAAGAACTAGGACGGAACTGCTGCCATTCCTTACTGGTAGGTATTTTATATAGATATGAGTGTTGGTCTCTGCAAGATGTCCTATTGGTAAAATTAAATGCGGGACAATAAAGGGCCTTCTCAATACTGTCACCACAAATCTAGAACCATTGGCAAAAATGGATTTGTATGCTGTAGCATTACCACTGCCTTCACTGAAAGCACCAGAACAGACAAATAGAAAGAGTGAATCTCCTTAACAGGGGCACAGACAGCAACAAAAACTGACAGGGGTTCTGTTCCCTCTCCACTCTATCCAAAACTAAGAAGAAAAAAATCCCCTGCAACCATATTTCACAGACCTAACAGGCTCAATAGGAAGGGATGTAAGCGTGGATTACTGAATTCTGTGCTATGCGCCTTCCTCTTTGCTCTCAGGGCTCAACTCACTAAGAGTTAAACACTGCCTGAGTGTTTGTGTTAAAATAACTAATGCTCTATTTAACCCCGGAAAATGCAATTCAGAAAAAAGCACATGCTGCATGAGTTATTTTATTTTGCAATATTTAAACAGTAAACAGCACCTTAAAAATAAACCCCCAAAAAAGTAGCTTAAACCAAAGCCCTCCAGCGGTGTGCTGCCACTGCTGCAGAGGCTTTCATCTTCACCTGATCTTCCTTCCAGGTTCACGAGCTCCGGCCATGTGACTGGCCGAGCCTGCACATGCAAGCTGGAGTCCTGGGCCATGGCACAGTGCTCTGAAGGACCAGTACAGGTATCCCGTTCCTTCAGAGCACATGTGCCGGCTCTCAAGAAGAGCGAATATCTCCCAAACTGTGGACGTGTAGGAGATGTTCATTTTACCTACTAGTAAGCATTATTATATGCTTACCTGTAGGTAAAAGTATACAAAGAGTTTACCATTTTAAACTTGTTTTTGCACGTTATTTTACCGCAGACCAGATGCAGCAGGAGCTGAAACATTTAGCAGTAGTGTTCCTACCACTATTAAATGTGACCGTTCAGCTTAGGTCTGCTGGCTGTAAAGGAGCCGGCACTCACCAGTGTCCCAACAACCATGACTCCTCACCTGCCAGCAGAATGTAAACCGAAGAGCCGACAGAACAGAAAAAAGACATGAGATTCAAGCAAGACCCCCCCCCCCCCCCCCCCCCCCCCCCCCCCCAAGTCCATAGCCCTTTGATGTTGATGAGGACAAGGGCATTTAATGGCAGTGGTAGTTTTAGGAGTCCACACTCAATTGTTAGAGTTTGGCTAGAAATATTTAAATATTTGCTTTAACAAAATTTGCATGAATAAAGGTTTTTCAGTAGTATATAATTATTTTTGTTCATAAAGAGAAGAATGTATATTATTCTATATATGTATCTATAGATATATATAATTTTGTATATAGTATATTATTCTTGTTTACATGATGTGTATTGTGAATTCCAGACACTATATACGATGAAGATGAAGTACTCCTGGCCCTCGCTGAGCAGCTGGGAAGCTTTACTTCTCTTGTTGGTGGACCTGAATTTGTCCACTGTCTTCTTGTAAGTACTGAAGGTTTTTACAAACTTTTCACGGTAACAAGGCCAACTCATCAGACTTGTACAGTTACATTTTTTAAATTTACGTTATCCTAAAGAAAAACTTTCACAGTACTGTGAAGCAGCTGTTTGTGCCATGAGTGTGCAGTACTTGGCATGCTAAAAGTCATGCTGCTGACCTATTTCTATGTTCTGTGCATAAAGGTAAAAAAACTTAGTGTGCAGCAGCCCCCTCCCCCCAATACTCACCCCATTGCAATCCAGCGAAGTGCACAAGCGCCTCGGCTCTGTTGGGTCTGTCCTAAAGATGTAAAATTTCTGCGAATTTTGAAGCTATGGTGAGAAAAAACTTTTTTTTTTTTTTTTTTTTGGAAAAAGTGTGGAGTAGTTTTACAAATTGAAAGTCGTTTGTTAACACTGGAAAGGTGAAATCTAGTGTATATAAAAGTATTATGCTTGAAAGACAAGTACAGCTTAATCAGTAAATAAACTAAACTTGCTTTTTAAAATTGTATTTTTATTACAAAAGGAATAACAAAGACTGTATACATTAACATTTCAATTATACATGAGAACGGATATCCACCCCCCTTTCCCTCGTGATAATTTAAAAGATTCCTGCCGATATGTATTTTTAGTTGACAACAATGCTGATTCAGAAGCATATACAAGTACTGCTTTATGAAGAGCTTGATCAGTGTTCTCCTGATTTTCAGGTGTCAATTTATCTATAAATGAATGGATTGTGTATTTTTGGGAGGCCATGGTTTGCAACCCTTCCTTCCTTAAAGATGCTGCTGGTGAAAAAACACTTTGTGATGATCCAGAAGCAGCAGAAAGTTTTTCTGGAATGAGAACTCTGGAGGGAAAAGCTACTTGCACTTTCATTCTGGTCCTCATCATTTCATTCCATAAAGCATATGTTAATGTCTCTAGGGAACCATTGGTCTCACCATTATACTGAGAGGCGGAAAAGGAAAAAACTATTTACTGACCAGACTGTAGGTAAACATTATGCTGTGATGATGGAGAACATTAATAGGAATCATTTAAAGTTTATAAAGAAAAACTAATTTGTCAGACAAATTTACTCTTTTACCTGTCAGTGAAGGCCTGAGAGGACCGGAACTATCATCTACTGTATCCCAACAATCACCCAACTGTAGGAGGTACAAGATGGAGCCCCCACACGCAAACTAAGCTGGAGCCTTTCCACCGTAGTGCCCCTTGTGGCAGAAATGCATATTTCTCTTGTCTGAGAACTGCATTGAAAAGTACAGCATTACTTGAATTGTATTCCAGTATTTGCTTGTCTTCAGCTGAGAGAACCTGCAATAATTTAAGCCTTTACATAGTGTCAGAAATCTTTTATTAAGGTCTTAATGTTATTTAGTTTGAACACCATGTCATAGATATATTATTTATCATTGTAAAAGAACATATAGTACACTTATTTTATTTTTTTTCCATTTTTTTCTGGAAAAAAAAACTGCTTTGAAATAGGGTAAAAAAATGTTTTTCCAAATTTTTCGTTTTTTTTTCCCTCCCCCCCCCAGCCTTCCCATCTCTAGTCTCTCCATCCTTGTTAGCTGAGACAGCAACAAGAGCCATTGGCTTCCACTACTGTCAGTCGCAGGGGTTGGGGCTGAGCCATGTTGTGTGTGAATGGACAAACAGAGCAGCGGCTTGGGACCCCCCAGAACAAGCAGCTTGCTGTGGGGGGTACACGAGCAGGCTCGCTCCCGAGCTGCTCTATTTGTCCACTCGACAGGAGGGAGGAGCCAGAGACCAGCAGGATCCAAGAAGCAGAGGATCCAAGAAGCAGAGGATCCAAGAAGCAGAGGATCCAAGAAGCAGAGGATCCAAGAAGCAGAGGATCCAAGAAGCAGAGGATCCAAGAAGCAGAGGATCCAAGAAGCAGAGGATCCAAGAAGCAGAGGATCCAAGAAGCAGAGGATCCAAGAAGCAGAGGATCGTGGCTGCTCTGTGCAAAAGCCGTTACGTATAACATGGTTATTTTTTAAAATCTGCCTTTAATATCACTTTAACCTTTTAAAGGCTCATCTTCACTTTCCTTTTCTTTCTCTTTTGTTCAGAATCATGTTTATTACAAAATAGCATCATGTAAGCATATTCATTTAAATTTTATTAATTTATAAATGACTGATTTTTTTTTTTTTTATTTATAAAATAAACAATGTGGCCCTTATACTGAAATGTTTTTGCTGATCCCTGGTGTATAATCCTATCTGGAGTCTTTTCAGTGCATATAAGACCTCCTCAATCACTATGTTAACAGTTTAGGTGTAGGAGCACTTGAGGACTCCAGCTTCTTTTATCAGCTCTTAGATGCATGCTTACATCATAACTTCTGAGGCTTCTAAATTGTTGACTCATGATTTGCTGGTGAGGTTTCAAAACTACCTTTTGCAACCTGATGCTTGAAGTTGTCATATGAAGTTGATTGTATAGCATTCTGTCAAGGATTTGAGAACATTTCTTCCCTATTTCAGCCTAGTCCATCAAGAAACATGAAAGTTGCTGTTAGACTGATGCCTTGTCCTTTTTTGTCCTTTGTTGGCTTCAGCTACAAAGCTTGCATCTGGCTCCCCACTTCCCTGCCAATCTACTTTGTGCGTCAGCAAGTAAAGCTGCCAAAGTCTTAGATCTCTTCTGAGCATTTTCCGCCTTCTGAAATGAGCGGCCTGCAAGCATTGCGGATATTGAGACATTAGGTGCCATCTGGGGGGCCCTTCTCTCCTGGCTCCTGTCCCAAACTTGTGTTCAATTTGGCAGCTCTTAAATATTTTTATCAACGTCACCAGCTCAGTTGAAACTCATTTATGTAGGTTGGGAGCAGATGCTGCTTGAACAAAACAGGCAGCACCAGGTGGTCTTGTAAGCATACACATAATACGCTTATGGTGCAGCAGGATTTATAGTAATCAGTGGCTGCTCAGAATTTATGGATATTCTGTGAAAGTGCTTCAGAAACTTCCCTTAAAAGACAAACTGTGCTGAGACAAATATGGAGGCATCCACAGCCAACCTCTCCCTAAGAAATGCTAATTGCCTGTCTGTCACGCTGCTCTGGTGGCACCCATTCTTTGAGTCACGGAGGCAAGTATGTAGACCAGGATTTCTGACTTCACTAGTTGCATACTTCTAGGTCGGTAATTTGGAAAGCATTGAATCCAGAAGCTGCCAGGCAACATTATCAGGAGGAGGCCAGCAGTGGCAGTCTTATTTAAGGTTTCTTTTAACTCAAATGTATGGAAATGGCACATAATTGCCTATATTCTGAGCTGTTTCTCCTTTGTTCTTTTGATTCCTGTCCTGCATTTGAATGTATGCAAGAGCAGGAACTTGCTAACATGAGATTAAGCAGCTGCAATGCTTTTTCTTTTCAAAAATAGTCAGATTTCCAGCAGCAGATTATAGGCTATACTCCTTGCCTTTTCAATAAGAGTGAAGATTATATTTTTATGTGAGACGATATTTAAAGGTGTTTTGAATAAACTCTTATTTGTGTGTGATATTTTTTCTTCATCACACAAAAATCACCCACAGACATCACTGTGGGTACCTGCAGGCGTCAGCAGATGCTCCAGTTAATAGGATGTGTCATTTGGCTATGTTTGGTTCTTCTAGCTGATGAAAGCTCTGAGATGATGCTGGTGTCAGGGTGCCTGTTGAACACATGGACATGTTTGCTTGTGTGATATGCTAAAGCTGACTTATAACCCTTGTTAGCACTTACAGTAACATATGAGGCACGCCGCAGGCAAGCGCTCGCCGTTCGTTAGGTCTGGGAAGTGACATCACTGTATTAACTGTAATACAAGGAGTGGTGACATTCTCCTGGATATGCATTGTGGCAGTGATGTGTGAGTGGTGGCTGAACTTCATTGCAGGTTTTTTTTTTTTTTTTTGTAGCCAACGTTGGTCACATGCATACTGTCTGTAGTACAGCTTTAAATGCATGGTAAAGACTAAGGGTAAGTGAGTGAAAAATAATATATTTGAAATTTGGAGTTCCATTTTAGGGTTTCATGCCAAACACAAGCCTCATAGTTAAATACTTTCTCATCTGTGTTAAAAGTGCACACTTGTTAGGCTGCTGTACTTCATTACTGTGTTCTGCTTCCAGTAATTCATGTCTTTAATCTATACAGCCTCCACTGGAAAGCTTAGCAACTGTTGAAGAGACAGTAGTTCGTGACAAGGCAGTGGAGTCTTTGAGGAAGATCTCTCATGAACATTCTCCTGTTGACCTTGAAGCTCATTTTGTGCCACTAGTGAAACGTTTAGCCAGTGGAGACTGGTTCACATCACGTACATCAGCTTGTGGTCTCTTCAGTGTGTGCTATCCGAGAGTTTCTAGTACTGTCAAGATGGAAATCAGGCAGTAAGTCTAGCTTGGATTTATTCAGTTTTATGAAACCTTTTTTATTTATGTAATGTTTTTTATATATATATATATATATATATATATATATATATATATATATATATATAAAAATGCAGCGCTGTAAAATGATCAAATCATGCAAATCAACACAATAATAGTCCTGAAAAGGTGCTCAATAATTCCCAGTGCCAATGGAAAGAATGCAAACTAACCAGAAACGCATTTAAAATACGCATGTGTGTAAGAAATCCTGGAGATTCCCCTCTCTCCCTCTGGTCAGAAAATGGATATGTGCTGAAATGGATGACGACGACGCCCTCTTGTAGGAAAACGAGATCCTGCAGGTTAGGAAGCTCCCAGGATAGGATATTCCTCTTCAATGGAACCAGGGCTGGGATTGAAATCACTCTGTGGCTGTGAAGTTGGGAGAAAGGCCCCTCACAGAGAACACAGAGAGATACTCATAGTGTAGTATATTACTTCAATTTATTTAAAAAAACCAAGTAAAACATATAATCAGGTGGCAAGTGAAAGTGACCCACTGACCCTTTAAAATTATTGGTGGCCGCCGGACCTCCACATGGCACCGGCGGCGTAGTGTCAACGACGTCCACAGGCTCCTACTGACGCGTTTCATGCGCACGCACTTCTTCTGAGGTAGAGCAAGTATCTCTCTGTGTTCTCTGTGAGGGGCCTTTCTCCCAACTTCACAGCCACAGAGTGATTTCAATCCCAGCCCTGGTTCCATTGAAGAGGAATATCCTATCCTGGGAGCTTCCTAACCTGCAGGATTTCGTTTTCCTACAAGAGGGCGTCGTCGTCATCCATTTCAGCACATATCCATTTTCTGACCAGAGGGAGAGAGGGGAATCTCCAGGATTTCTTACACACATGCGTATTTTAAATGCGTTTCTGGTTAGTTTGCATTCTTTCCATTGGCACTGGGAATTATTGAGCACCTTTTCAGGACTATTATTGTGTTGATTTGCATGATTTGATAATTTTACAGCACTGCATTTTTATATATATATGTTTTACTGAGGATTTTTACATGCGTTTATCCTGGATGTTCAGCTGCTGTTTCTTTGAGAGCGCTCACTGTGTGTCCTTTACCTATACAGCAATGTTTTTTATATATGCCTCTTGCCATAAATATTTTTAGTAAGGTGTGAAAAAATGCTGTAAATTAGTCAAGCTTTCAGGAATAGAATTGTTAATAGTTTATTTTAACAAAATAAGTAAAAAATAAAAGGTAAATGAACAGAAGTGAAATACAAATCAAATCAGTATTTGTGCGACCACCATTTTCCTTCAAAACAGCATTAGTCCTTCTAGGTACACTTGCATACGTTTTTTTTTTTTTTTTTGAAGGAACTCAGCAGGTAGGTTGTTCTAAACATCTTGGAGTGCTAACTACAAATCTTCTGTGGAGGTAGGCAAGTACAGATAAGTATACTTATCCATCATGCCATACCATCTGGGAGGCTTGTGATTGGCCCCAAATGCATTCTGCAGCAGGACAATGACCCCAAACATACAGCCAATGTCATTAACCACTTCCCCGCCACCCTGTTGCAGAAATACTGCTGCAGGGCTGTGCAAAATCACGTGTATATATATATATGTGTGTGTGTGTATGTATATGTAGATAGATATATATATATATATATATATATAGATATGTATATATGTGTATATATATAGATATGTATATATATATATATATAGATATAGATATATATATATATATATATATATATATATATATATATATATATATATAGATATATATATATAAAAATTTATATTTGCATTTCCGGGTAAGGGGCGTGCGCCACCATTGATGGCTACAGATGTCGATCACCAGCTCTTGGCCGGAGCTTCCCTGCCGACACCTGGTGATCGCCGACAATCAGTGACAGGGGAGAGACCTGTGTGTAAACAATACAGGTCTCTCCTGCTAGTAGTAACATGCTGCTGCACATCAGAGAAATACACAGCAGGTTTCCCTAGTAAAAATAAACACAGTAAAACAGCACACAGTTAACCCTTTGATCACCCCATATGTTAACCCCTTCCTGCCCAGTGTCATTAGTACAGTGTCGGTGCTTTTCATTTAAATTGATCACTGTATTAGTGTCTTTGGGATGTCAGTGGTGGTAGTTTCCCCCCCCCAGTGTCAGTATGCCTGCTGCAGTCCCGCTATAAGTCTCTGATCGCCACCATTACTAATGTGTGTGTGTATATATGTATATATGTATGTATGTGTGTGTGTGTGTATATATATATATATATATATATATGTGTGTGTATATATATATATGTGTGTGTGTGTGTGTGTGTATATATATATATATATATATATATATATATATAAAATTCCAGTGTATATGTACCGCCATTTGTCGATGCTATAACTTTCATGTAAGCCAATTAATGTACATATATTGGGATTTTTTTTTTTTTGTAAAGACGTAGCAGAATACATTCATGACAATTTGATTTTTAAAAATTTTTTTCACTGGATATTTTTTTTAGCAAAAAGTCAAATATATATTTTGTTTTTCAAAATTGATGGTTTTTATTGTTTATAGCTCAAAAAATAAAAAAACCCAGAGGTGATCAAATACCACCAAAAGAAAGCTCTATTTGTGGGGTAAAAAAAGCACATAAATTTCATTTCAGTCAGCGTTGCATGACTGCGCAATTGTCAGTTAAATTAACGCAGTGCCGTATTGCAAAAAATGGCCTGGGTGGGGGGGGGGGGGGGTAAATACTCTGGAGGGCAAGTGGTTAAGAACTGTCTTCAGCTTAAAGAAGAAGGCGGTGTTCTGGAAGTGATGGTGTGGCCCCCACAGAGCACTGATCTCAACATAGTCTGTCTGCAGTTGCATGAAGAGACAGTAGGTTTAATGCAGCCTGCATCCACAGAGTATCTGTGGTTAGTTCTCCAAAAACTGTGCAAGTATTCCTAGAAGAATTGATACTGTTTTGAAGCCAAAGGGTAGTCGCACCAAATATTGATTCTCATTTTATTGGTTGAACTAGATGTACTTTTCTTTTTTTTTTTTTTTTTTTCAACCAGACTATGTAACTATAATTTAATTTAGACGTTTGCTCACTTCTTATATTTTACATTTCTTCACAACTGCCTAAAACTTGTGTGTGTCTGTCTAGATATATATGTATATAATAATTGCATTTTTTTTTTTAATATAGACATTTCCGCAATCTGTGCTCTGATGACACTCCGATGGTACGGCGTGCTGCTGCTTCAAAGCTTGGTGAATTTGCTAAAGTACTTGAACTGGAGTATGTGAAAAATGATATCATTCCATTGTTTACCAACCTAGCCTCAGATGAGCAGGTAAGCTATGGATCATTTATATGGTAGATTTCCCAAGAATTATAAGGGGGAAAAAAAAGGAAAATGTAGTGAAAGGCAATTTCTCTTGGAGCATGAGGTATGTTGGACCTTTTATTATTAAACTCTGCTACATGATGACTTCTGGTCTGAATCACAGATGGAATATTAATTTCCGTATTAGGTGATCATATTCTATAATATCGACATTCCTTTGTTCTTTCCTCTTTTTCTGGGATATGCTATCAAGTATCCTTTGAATGTGTGTTGAGCGTTTTTGACTACAATATTTTTAGTGTGTTGCGAGTGTTTCCACCTATGTGTGGGGAGGGTTATTTCAAGCATTAGGAGAAGTGGTCAGTCAGCAATTATTAAAGCATAGCGATGGTCAAAATTTAAAATCATATATGCATTTCCATGTTGTACTTCATTTCTAGCCTACTCCTATTACTCTCAATGGTCTTTGAAGTTTGTTAACTTATTTTGTGGAGATCTCCACATATTTACCTTGACGAATTCTGTAACGTATTCATTATGCCCTGTGAGTAGGGACTGCTGAGCCTACCTTCTGAAATACAGTGGAGGAGTTTTAGTTGATTAAAGCGGAGCTCCACCCAAAAGGGAAAGTTTTTTGTTTGAAGGCCTGATCCCCTGCTCCTGGTAAACAAAATGGGAGCTTTTGGAGAGCAGGGGGAATCGGGTACCTGATGTTGATGGGTACCCGCTCCCATTTCCTATCCAATAGCCTAGGTGATCAGAAGTGGAAGTTCTTCTCTCCCCCTCCCCCCTTGCTGCATTCTTCTGCAACACATGACAGGTCCCAAAAGACTGCTGGACCATTCACAATCTGCAGCGCTGTGCAAAGTTGAGATGCCTGCGCCTGGGACAGGACACCAGTGGAAAGAATGGCTGGGGTAAGGACATCGCTGGATTGTGGGACAGTTTTTGTAGCTGCTGACTTTTAATTTTTTTACAGGAAGCTGGGGAACCTCTTTAGGTACAGGTATCACTGCATGCAAGCAGCAAAGTACCATCGTATACACAAATCGGCCATAACTTTGACCACTGGCTAGTTAATTGGATAAGATTGATTGCCTTGTTACAATTGCATCTGAAAGTCAGGGGATATAGTTGGCAGCAAGTGAACATGTCCATGAAGTTGATATGATGAAAGGAGAAAAAAATGGGTATCAGAGTTAGTTGTGTATGGGGCTGCGTAGCCACTGACCTGTGTCCATAGCCAAAAGTGCCTTTTAATGGGTATGTGAAAATCGGAACTGGACAACAAAGCAATGGAACAGGGTGGCCTGGCCTGATGAATGTTTGGTTTCTTTTTTTTTTTTTTTTTTTTTTTTTTTTACATCATGTGGATAGCTGGGTGCATGTTTTTCCTTTACCTGACGAAGAGATGGCACCAGCATGCAGTATAGAAAGAAGGCAAGCCAGCAGAGGCAGTGTGATGCTTTGGGCAATGTTCTGCTGGGAAACCTTGGGTCCTACCATTCATGTGAACGTTACTTGACACGTACCATCTCCCTAAACATTGTTTCTGACCAAGTACATCTCTTCACGGAAATGGTATTCCCTGATGGCAGTGGCCTCTTTCAGTAGGTTAATGCGCTCTGCCACACTGCAAAAATGGCTCAAGAATGGTTTGTGGAACACAACAATAAGTTCGAGGTGTTGACTTGCTCCTCCAAATTCTCCAGATCTCATTTTTATCGAGCATCTGTTGGATGTCCTGGAAACGCAAGTCTGATCTATGGAGGTTCCACCACGCAACCTATAGGACTAAGGCTTGGTTCACACTACTGTGATGCAATTTTGACTTAACTTTGATGTGGCCTTGGTTGCTTTTTGGATGTGTTTTGCATATTCTGTGGGTCCAAATCACATTGTAAATCACGCCAAAGTAGCAGAAGAACCTTTTCCAAAATCGCACCGCACAGTCAATGCTATGAATAGGCGACTTGAGTTGAATAATGAGTTACACAGAATTGCAACAAGAGAAATCACAAGTCACATCTGGTATGGCATTAGTGTGAACAAGGCCTTCAAGAATCTGCTACTGATGGCTTGGTGCCAGATACCACAGCATACCTTCAAAGGTCTAGTGGCATCCATGCCTCTGTGGGTCAGAGTTGTTTTGCGGCCAAAGGGGGCACCTATTCAGTATTAGGTGGGCGGTTATTAAGGTATGGCTCATTGGCATATATAGTCCTTAGAAACTGAAAGTAAATGGCAAAACGGTAAAGTGACAAACCATGCTGAGAATCCATGGAGTGGGGGAAGGAGTTGGTCAGCAGTCAACACTTACAATATGACGGGGGAAAGTGTATGCTGTAACCATGGAACTACTTTAAGAATCTTTGTAGGTTGAAAATTTACAATAAATATTTATTTAGGAATAACTATTTATTGTTGAAGGCTCACTGCTGAGTTTCAGTCATCATTATACTTAGTTGACTACTCACATTATCAAAACAATGCTGGACCCACAGTAGATTTGTCTGTGTGCATGTCTAGAAGAGGCAAGCCACCTTCTCTCCTTACAGCTTAAAGTGTAATTCCATTAAAATACGAACTAAGCCTAAACTCTCACCTCCATTCTAAGCCTATTGTAACTACCCTGTAAAGCAGGGGTGTCAAACTCCATTTCAGTGCGGGCCACATCAGCAATATGGTTGTCTTCAAAGGGCAGTTTGTATCCATAAAACTAGATGTCCAGACATCCCACCCCCCTTACATCAGATCTCAAGATCCCCCCACCATCAGAAGTCAAGAGTCCCCCACTCTCCCTTACATCACAAGCACTCCTTAGCTTATGCTGCTGCTGGGAAGAATCTGGGGCTGGAGCTGGGAAGCAGAAAGTTCAGGGTCTGGAGGAGGGCTGGAGTCCGTTACCAGAGTCTGCTGGAATGCTTAGATCAGGGGAAATGGAGATGAGGGGGTGCTGTGGCTGTACAGAGAGGCGCAGGATCTATAGGAGGAGTTCTGTCCTCCACTCAACTGCTGAGACAAGGTGAGGGGGAGATGTGGGGGGTGCTATAGCTGCAGGAGAGGTGCAAGGGCCACATGAAATGGTCTAGTGGACCGGATTTAGCCTGCGGGTCTTGTGTTTTGACACGTGCTGTAAAGGAAAGATGTTTATACTTGCCTATGGTTAGGGTGCTCCAGTCTGGTCACTTGATTGGGTCCCAGCACCAGCTTCAGTGTTGACAGCGGCTGCCCAATAGTAAGCCTGTGGATGATGTCATCTCCCAGGCTCTGCAGCCATTGTCAGCAATCTTTTCTCTTCCCACAATCTGGCCACTGGAGAGATCATGTGACCAGACTGCATGGCAATACATCGAGTGGAGCCCAGGGGAGACATGCAGGGTCTTTTAGACCCTGCATGTCTTAATAAAGAGAACCTGTCACCCTAAAATCATCATCATTGCAAAAAAATAGTCACACCCCAGCACTTAACATCCTCCAAAAAAATGTTGAGGCCTCATACGAATGAACGTAAATGCACATGTCAGGGTGTCTATGCATAAAAACGCAGATTGCGATACACGTAACATATCGCAGCACACGCCGGAATGGGAGTGATAATTCTAGAACAAGACCACCTTCGTAACGCTAAACTGATAACCTATAGGGGCTTGTGAAGCATCACCTATAGAAAATATAGGGTACTTAAGTTTGTCGCCAGTCATAGGCGCACACAAATTCAAGGTTTGTCATGTTTGGTATCTATTTACTCCATGCTACCTCGTCTTTTAAGATTTACCAAACATTTGGGCAATTTATTGTGCTTTTTTGCCCTAAAATTCACTTTAGTGTATTTTTTTTTACTGAATGTTTGAGTTTCCTAGACCTTTGTGGTAATATCGTGTGGCATAAAAAAATTGGAGCTACCACTATTTTAGTCTCTGGGATGTCCTCTTTTCTGAAAACATAATGTTTTGAGGGTTTTGTGTAATATTCAGACTTAAAATGATTTTTTTAAACTTACAAAAAAAGGCATACAGTACTCTGGAAGCGAAAGGGTCAAGCAGCATGGCCAATGTCATTGGCAACATTCAGCTATCATGTCCCTGAAAGAAATGACTGCATCCAGAGGCAGTGGGAAGCTGCATATTTGAATGAAGAGTCTCTCGCGTTCTTGTTACTTTACCATTGCATTTTAGAAAGACCAGATGTAAATCTGTATGAAATAACTTTGTTTTCCTATAGTAATGAGGTCATTTCCCAGTGTTTTTTTTTTTTTTTTTTTTTTTTTTGTTTGACTACTAGGAGTATAGTGTTGTGGTGGTGGTGTAGATTATGAAATGTTCACTCCATTTGATGATACAGATCTCCAAAATGGGGTATGAGAATGTAAAATTAGTAATAATGTTATGACCTAATTGGTATATACATGTGGTGTCATTTGTGCATGTGGCAGACAAGCCATACTAGGTTCAGAGGAAGAAGGAAATTCCATAATGTGATATGTATACCATTTTAATATTTGGGCTATAAGGAATACATATTTTTTCTGTTACTTTTAAAGATGCAGTTAATCTTTTAAAATGTATTTAAACTAGACGTCCAGCTTTAAGTGCATCTGCTGCTGATTCCACTTCTCAGTAACACAGATCTATTCACTTGACAAGAACAAGGGAAATCCTTCTTTTACAGAGCTTAAAGTACACTTGTAAACTAATTTCACCTTTTAAAGTGGTTCTAAAGCCTTAAGGTTTCTCACCTTAATGCATTCTGTGCTGCAGGATCCCTCCAGCCCTCCCGTTATTCCTACCTGAGCCCCATATGATCCAGCGATGTGCACAAGAGCAGTGGCTCTCACCGCGGTATCTCTCCTCATTGGGCAGATTGATAGCAGCGGGAGGCATTGGATCCCTCTGCTGCCAATCAAATGCTGTGACGGTGTGGGGCCAAGCCACCCGATCTTTACCAGTAGACACACAGGGCAGCTGGGGAGCTCTCCCATGGAAAGCATCTTTCTATGGGTGCACTCGCCGAAGAGGAGCCTGGAGTGCCAGAGGGGGATGCCAGAATTTAAACAAAAATGGAAGGTTTGTCACTTTAAATATATAAATTTTTTTTTGATAGGGAGCATTACAAGATGTCTGCTATTACATTTTTTTAGCCAATTAAAGTTGACTTCACACTCCTAAAGTGCAGCTCACCTGCAGTATTCTTGGTGGCTTAGCTGGGCTTTCCCATAGACTTCTATGAGGTCCCGTGGTTTTGTTGCAATTTTAGAAGGTGCACCAAAACGCCTGCATGCTGCATCTATGGTGTGTTTTCTGAAATCGCACCAAAACCACAGGATATAAGAGAAGTGTACGGGAAAGTGCAGTTAACACACAAGACCCATTCGCCTGAAGTGCAGCAGAACCACATCGGGGCTGTGTGAAGCAACCCTAACACTTTTCTGTGTACCTATCTGACTTAGGTTTGTGTCTTTTTTTTTTTTTTTTTTTTTTTTTTTTTTTTTTTTTTTTTAGGTCTGACTTATGGTCTAAGCCATCTCAGCTGCTATCCCCTGATCCATTTGAGGGAATTTCAGAGGTCCTAAAGCGCACTTTTATAGATTAGGCTGCAGGCAGGATTTGGGTTTTATTCAAGAAAATTTGGTTGAGTAGCCCAGCTCAACGATTTACACAGACTGTTCCCTTTTCTTGGCATACTAAAACAATAGCCTTTAACTCGCCCTTTTAGCTAACATAAAAAAAATCATCCTCTTTCTTTACAATTTCTTTTACTGCTGCAGGACTCTGTGAGACTATTGGCCGTTGAAGCATGTGTTAGTATTGCTCAGCTTCTTCCGGAAGAGGATCTTGAAGCTCTGGTGATGCCTACACTTCGTCAAGCAACTGAAGATAAATCTTGGCGTGTCCGCTACATGGTGGCTGACAAATTTTCAGAGGTAGGGAGACATTTCCAGCTGAACTTGTGGATAATGCTTCTATCCCCAACCATATCATGTCTAGGATTGTTGAGCTTTTTTGTAAGCTGAGCTCCTAAAGATAAAGTATGTATTCTTTAAAACTATTTCTCAACTTTACTAGCGGAAGTACCTGGATTTGACTTAATATCAATCTCTTGCAATCCCCTGTAAGATCAGACTGGGAGAGGGAGAAGTAGCATACATTACCAGTCAGTTGTACTGCAATGCTTATACGATAACAGGAAACATGCTGATAGGAGAAAAGCAGAGTGTCAAAGATTTCATCAGTCTGTTGCCTCTCCTTCATTGGATAGTTACAGGCTGAAGTTAGAAGCAACACCTAGTTGTACCACCTTGGCCAATCAGAGGAAGCATTGTATTTGTTCTTGAAAGTGCAAGGCTTCCTATGAATGTTTGAGAAGCACTCAGCTTGTCTCCTTTTTGTTCCAGCAGCAGCAGATGGGAATTTTTCTGTTATGCTGCCAGAACACAGCACTGCATACTGTATGTGGTTGATGCTACTACAGTATAATACAGAGCAAGAATACCTTGGTTATGGAAACAGTTTGTTTGGGCCAGCGTGGCCCAAACTATTTTTAAAGTAATGGGAAACATGGACCAAATTAATTCCACTTTAGGGACAGGTATGATAATTTAAATATATTGCATATTTGTGTCTGAGATTTTATGATGAGCTTGCTGCCTTGGTGGTAAGTTCTTAGTAACTGACTTCTCACATTTTTTTTAGCTCCAGAAAGCTGTTGGGCCAGAGATCACAAAGAATGACCTTGTTCCAGCATTCCAGAATCTCTTAAAAGATTGTGAAGCAGAGGTTAGAGCTGCTGGAGCGCACAAAGTAAAAGGTAAGCCAGGCGTTAGTATATTGGCTCGTATCGGAATTAAAGTGGTTGTGAACATATGCATACATATACCAAGTGAAGTGAGTGGCTTAAACAAATCCTTGTACGTTGGTTGTACCTGTTTATCTGCAGTCTTCTTTTCTCTACATCCAAAGTCCAGAATGTATACAGCTCCTGAAAGCGCAGGGATGAAACCAGGGGTGGAAAACTGAAAGCTGATTGGAGGAAAGGGACACACACACACCCCCTCCACACAAGAGCAAAGCTGAGTCTGTCAATCACAAGCTGTGTGCTGAGATTCCTCCTGGTCACCTTTTTACTCTTGGTGTCAGGAAAACTTGTCAGAAGTGACTCATGCTGATAGCAGAGGAATGCAGCAGAGGGAAAACACACTTGGTGCTCTTAACTGAGACAAGTCTACACTATAAAGGGATATACTTTGTTCATGTTTCACATCTGAGGTTTACAACCACTTAAAATGTTCAATGTTTTGACATATAGTATGTTCTATTTACTATTGAAACTGATTCTGGCAATAAATGTTGCAGTGATTCACATCTAAAGACCAATGGCATTAATGCTGCTTTTTTTTTTTTTTTTTTTTTTTTTCTTTTGTACCTACTGAGAAGTGTAGCTGCAGCTTTCTTCCTTTGTTTAATTTTTCTTTTTCTTTTTCTTGGAGTGGCTATGACTTTTGAGAATAGTGCCTTTTGGTGGTCATTTTTTAAAATATACACGTCATGTTACATTTCAACAAATGTCTGTATATATTGAATTTATAAATAAATTAGTGTGCATCTAAAACCAAAGTTTTTTTGGGATAGAGCGGTGAAATCAAGATTTTGTGGTGGTTTGTGTTCCTGTTTTGAGAGATTCTCTCTCACTCATTCTGTATCCTGGTTACCGTTATCATCCATTGTATCCAAAAATGTTGCTGAAGTTGGACTTTACTGTTTTCTGTAGTCAAATGGTAACGTTTTTGTCCTGGGTTAAGCTTTTTCATGCATAGTGCTAAGTGATTGTAAAATGAATGTAGTTCTTAATAGATATCATTGATCTCTATAGTGACAGCTACAGCAATTATGCACATTGCTTGGGAATAGAACAGTACAAATGGTTACCTATGGCTATTGTGACATGTAATAACAATTTCAGTGTATGTTACAGGTAGAAGCTGAGAAATTTCTTGAAGGTTACAACTTAAGTTAAATTACTTTTTGTTTTCTGTTTTTTTTTTAGAATTTTGTGAGAATTTGCCCACTGATGGAAGAGAAGCAATAATTATGAACAACATTTTACCCTATGTAAAGGTAATATCTTACTTTAGTGTTTTTGTTTTTTTTAACCTTTTGAATTGCTTTAAATTGTCATTAACTGTTTGCTCTCTAGGGCAATTTTGACATTTTTCCCATGCGTGAAATATATATATATATATATATAAATAAAAGAGAGAGATTTTAAGTAGAGGCTCTGGAGCATAAAATGGTGGCTGTTGCAATTTTTATGCAGCACAACATTTGCATAGCCATTATATATTTAGGAAAAAATGCACTTTTTCAAAAATCAGTAAGAGATACCAAACATCAAGAATTAAAATTGTGATGCCTTAAAATTCTTTACAGATCCGTTTAGAGATTAATGGTGAAATAGGGCTCTATAGTTATTGCTGTCACTCTGTTGTGTGGTGCAGTCATCTTTTACTTATACCAGACCTGCATGCGCATTTGCATTTGGGTGTGTGCACAGGGGGCAGGAATGCTTTTTTAACTTTTTTTTTTTTTTTTTTTTTTTTTTTTTTATTTAAATGTATTTTTACACTCAATATACAATATATTGCATGCTCCTCAGTCTTCACCAAAGAAACCATCAATAAATGTGTTTCTTGTATTTTTTTTCCTGTGATAAACCTGTCAGTACATAGTTATTGCTGTAAAGAAAACTGTATCTTAGTAATTGGCAGACTACTGACTAGTATGAAAAAACCCAATAGGATTGTGTGACAGTTGGTGAGCGCTTTAGTGACCAATTACAAGTGGCTGCTGAAAGCTGTCTGGATCTGTTTTCTTTTTCCTCTGTAAATCCTCCTGCAGTAGCAGTTTGTTAGTTGATTGTGATAATGTGCCCAAAAGTCAAAAGACTTAAAGTGGAAGTACACATTGCTTAGTTTATATTCCTGAGAACCATCCATTTATATAATGTGTGCCTTCAAATATACTTAAAACCACAAAATGATTCTACGTCAGAGGAAACCCAGAGTCTCCTCCCTTTAGCTTCTCTATAGTTACCTGCAGGTACACTATTACTGTTTTTCTTCTGCTTTCTTGTATGCTATGCTATCCATACATAACTTGTCACTGATCACCCTACACTCATCTAATCCTCCCTGGTTGCTGCAGAACTGACTGGCTGCATCACCTCAGCATTGAGAACCCCTGCTGGTGGCATCACACACAGGCCTTCATCATAGTAGCAGGTGCATGTGCATCCATCAGACCAGACACTTGAAAAAGAACACTTTTAAGAGAAGACAACTTAAACATATTAGACTATTCAATTATGCATTTAAACAAAATGTATTATGGGTTAAAGTTCTACTTTATTAGGCACAATATTAATTTAAACATGGATAAAAATATATACACCTTTACAAAATACATGGTACTCCAGAACCACTGTCAAGAGTCAGCTGAGTCAACAGTGAAATGTTTGAAATATCTGATATCTGTTGAGATTATCCATGTGATGGTCTCTTAAATCTTTTGGGGACTTTAGCACTTAGATGTTCCTGACACTGCTCCGATTTACCTATTGTTTTGCCATTTAGCCAAGGTGTTAACACTCCTACTGTTGCGCTATTCATAGTATAAAATTAACTGAACCTCTCAGTGTTTTTACCCCAGAGGAACCCTGGGAAAAAAATGTCTCAGGGAACCCCTAAAACATTTTTTTAGCTTCAGCTCACAGGTTCTTTGTATAATTAGTGAGTTGTAGGTATAATAGAATGGATGGTGACTTTTATGTTTTTAAAAACCTGGAGTTGCCTTTTTGTTCAGCGACAGCACTATATTTACTTTGATGTTCAGTGTATAATAGCACATTTTTAATGCTAATTTAGAAATTTATTTAAAAAAATGTGTATATTACTTCAAAATAGAACCTTTTTGCAATAAATGCCCGTGTTACAGAAGCCTTCACTTTTTTTTTTAGGTGTTTTTCCTGGTTTTTTTTTTTTTTTTCTTTTTTCTAAGGAGTTGAGCCATCTACAGCTGATTTCCTCTTAAAAGTCAAATGCCAAACACCAACGAATTGCTGCTGTTATTTATTTTACCTGTATGGCAGAAGAGCAAACCGGGGCTATGTGGCAAGGGTCTTCCGGTGGTTGGGGGTGGCGGTCACCTGGGACATACATCACTCCATGTGCAGCACCAGGCACATTTGACAGATGGGGCCCCCTGCTGCAACTGTGCCATAGTGACCAAGAACCCCAAGCTACACCATATGCTAGAGGGAGCCAGTTACCCCATTGAAAGACATGATAAACCCAAAAGCAGACATAAAGGCAGAATCAAAAATAAGTTTTTTTTTTTTTGTTTTTTTTTTTGTTTTGTTTTTTTCAGTCTAGAGCAGAATGTGCTGCAAGAGGAGGTGCAGGAAGTGTACACTTTCAATCTACAAAGCACAGTGGTGATGTCTGTGTTGGAAATTAACCACTTGACCTCTAGGAGGTTTTACCCCCTTCATGCCTCTGCATTTTTTTTTTAATTCAGCACTGCACCACTTTGACTGGCAATTGCGTGGTCATGCAACACTATGCAAATGAAATGTATTTATATATATATATATATATTATATATATATATATATATATATATTCTTATGGTGGTATTTGTTCAGAACTGGGTTTTTTATTTTTAATTATATAAATGAAAAAAACTTTGGAAAAACTCTTTCTGTTGTAAATTTATCCAATACAAATGTCTAATTTCTTCATAAATTCAGGTCAAAATGTATCCTGATACGTCGCTGGTAAAACAAAAAACAAAAAGTCTCAATAAGTGTATATTGGTGCAAAAGTTATAGCGTCAGCAAACGGATACCTATAGTGGAATTTACACAGCTATGATGCTATACTAGTAATGGCAGTGATCAGCAACTTACACAGGGACTGTGATAGTGTGGTGGGCAATCTGGTGCTAGCTGACGCTGGCTCGGAAGTGCGCTATATAACTGACACTGACATCAATAGTGACACTAATACAGTGATTGGTGTTAATACTGTACATTGTCACTGTACTAATTAAAGTGGCTGGGAAGGGGTTAACATTTAGGGGAAATCAAGGGTTAATTGTCTAACAATGAGTAGTGTATGCTGCTTTTACTTTACTGGCTGTTTCTTCTTCCTGTTTTGCAGGGAGAAGAAACAACCAGATTGCTGTTCATTGTACAGAGGTCTGTGTTTTTGTAGAACTCTGTGTGATTGGACACAGCCAATCAGCTATCAAACTTCTGCTGTGTCTCATCAACACGAGTCAGCAGGAACTGTGCATGCCTGTGCCCCAAACCCAGAAAGCAGCCGGTCACATATATGTACACGATCATGCCTGCACCTGCTGTCTGCTTGTGTTATATTTACTGTGAGCGGTCAGCAGGTGTTAAAGCATACTGTTTGACGATATTCAGCATTGCAGTCTGCAGGGGAAACACAAAAGCCACCATTGGGCAGATATAAATCAGCAGCAACGGTGGCCTGTGACAGAACCGCTGGGGACCTCTTGCAAATTCCTAAGGTTCCAAAAACTTAGGCTATTCAGAAGAGTTGGATCTAATCGTATCAGCTTTTTCAGTTTTGCAGGCCTGAGAAATCAAGGACAGGGAAAAAAATAGGCACTGCTAGCTTATGTCAGATCTAGTTGGGAACTTCTTAATTTTTTTTTATATATATATATTTACAGACATGGTTTATCTCTCCTTTTTTTTTTTTTCTCTTTTATAGGAACTGGTATCTGATACAAACCAGCATGTGAAGTCTGCACTGGCCTCTGTAATCATGGGATTATCCACAATTTTAGGCAAGGAAAATACAATTGAACACCTCTTGCCTCTCTTCTTGGCTCAATTGAAAGACGAGGTAGAGTCTAATTTCTTACTTTAGTTTGTAAAGTCCAAAGATTACCCTGTGTGAATCCACATTTTATGTTGTCTGTGCACATCATCTTAGTTCCTTTTCACAATTTGGCAATTATCTTCTTCTGACATGAATGCCATTGTCCTTTGTTGAAGGGTGTGATACAAATGTGCTGTTTCAGAAGACTTTTCTGTTACAATTTTGCAAAGTTTGAACAGTACATAAAACAGTCAGAAGTGGATTTTGCTGTTAAAAAGGAAATTGGACTCGTCTGCATTTTGGCAAGGGGGGTTTTACAGGCCAGTCCTGTTTTAAAGCTATACATGTGTAAATGATCTAGATAGAACAAGAAGGGGGAGATTCCCTCTTATTTGTCCGTTTTAACCATTGTCACGAAAGCCGCAAGTGAGAGGATTCAAAATTATAAATTTTTGTCCTAGTGTTGTCTCTTTTTGCAAAATGTTGAGGATCTCCTTCACTTTGGAGAGATTTACACTCTACTATGAAACATGACAAAAACCCATCTCTTCTCAAAACTTCATTTTAGTTTCAGGCATACTTAAATGTTTATGCTCCACGTGCTAATGCATCTAAGCCCGCTTTGCACTGGATCGACTTTGAAATTTTGCAACTATGTGCCAAATGAGGTTTAATGTTGATAAATGTAAGGTTATGCACTTGGGGGCTAAGAATATGCATGCATCATACATACTGGGGGGGGGGGGTACAACTGGGGAAATCAATGGTGGAGAAGGATCTGGGAGTTCTGGTAGATCACAAGCTTAATAATGGCATGCAATGCCAAGCTGCGGTTTCTAAAGCGAGCAAAATCCTCTCTTGTATTAAAAGAGGTATAGACTCCAGAGAGAGAGATATCATATTACCCCTGTACAAATCATTAGTAACACCTCATCTGGAATATGCAGTTCAGTTTTGGGCACCAATTCACAAAAAGAACATTGGGGAACTGGAGAAGGTACAGAGCATGGAGGAGATCAGCTATGAGGAAAATTAGAGGAACTAAATTTACTCTCTTGAGAAGAGGAGATTAAGGGGGGATATGATCAACATGTATAAATACATCAGTGGTTCATATAGTGAACTCGGTGTAGAGTTATTCACCCTGAGGTCATCACAGAGGACAAGGGGGCACTCTTTACGTCTGGAGGAAAAGAACTGCAATCTCCAAACACGGAAAGGTTTCTTCACAGTTAGAGCTGTGAAAATGTGGAATAGACTCCAAGAGTTGGTTCTGGCCAGCTCAGTGGATTACTTAAAAAAAAAGGCCTGAGTTGTTTCTTAGATACACAGAATATAACTGGATACTAACATTTATAGGTAAAGTTGAACCAGAGAATATTCAATTGCCTCTTGGGGGGGATAAGGAAGGTATCTTTTCCTCTGCAGGAGCAAATTGGATCATGCTTTGCTGGGTATTTTGCCTTCCTCTGGATCAACTGTGCTTTTTTATGGTGGACTGGATGGACTTTTGTCTTTTTTTCAGCCAGACTAACTATGCAACTATGATATTGCGTGACTTCACTTGAAGTTGCACGATTTCAAAGTCGAATGGCAGTGAGACTTGGGGTGCGACTTTGATGGACTTCATGCACAGATGTCTATGCAAGTCATATCCAAATCAGCAAAAGTGGTGCAGGAACTACTTGTCTAATCAGTATGACTTTGAGTTGCACTGATTAAAATGATTTCGTTGCTGATCATTGCATGCAATTTGTCCAGTGCTCAGATCGCATGGCAATTCACATCGGTGTGAACCAGGGCTAAAACTTGTTTTTTCTATAAAGATATGATTCGCCATATTTACAAGCTCTCCTTCATTTGTTCTTTGCCAGTCTCCTATCTATCTATACAAAACAGTCTGTCTTTCTTTTCTTTGTGGGTGCTTCTAAGATTTTTGGTTTAAAACAAACTTCTAGTGTATAAAGTAGACTTTAGCATTTGCTGATAGTTTTCTCAGAGCACCCCATAAGACCTAAATTGTTGGGTGTTGTGTTATTCCAATGCAGACTTTAATTGGCAAGTTGATGTTTTGGCTTGCCTTCTCCCATGCTCAGCAGGTTTTTTGCCAGTAGTAAGGCACAGGCGGAGTTAAGTCAAGATGTTAAACTTGCTAGTTGGAATTTTCAAAATAAAGATCTGTGCTGACTATTGTAGATGCCTTCTGTCAGTTCTGGCTTTCACTTTATTACTATAGAAAATTACTGAAGTTTAAATTTAAATGGATATTAAAGCAGAACTACACTGCATCTGAATAACACAAACCAAAAACACTATTTAATTTTTAATGTTCAAAGCAAAGCCATCCATCCATGTCTCCATGTTTTATTTTGCTGAGAAATCACTTTGAAATACACCCCCTAGCATTTCAGGCTGTGGCCATCTTGTGTAAGGGTATATGATTCATGTAGCATTTACTTCCTGGAATCCATCTGCCTTAGTTCAGGCATGCAAGCAGGAGGGTATTCACACCTATGCAATCTGATTCTGCACATCGCACCGCGTTTTGCGGACTGATGTGGGGGTGTCATTAACATACACACCCGCATCGGTCCGTGTGAACAGGATGCGATTGTGATGCGGAATTTGCACTGAAAACGCTGCGAATTCCGCACCGCATCAGTGTGAACCAAGGCTTAAACCCAAAAGCAAACATATACTATATTTCAGCTTACTAGTTCTTAGATGTGATGGCAGCACTATTTTTTAGGTTTTCTTTTATTTTCACATGGTGATTTTGGCCAGTAAGCCTGTTTTTCAGCAGAACAAACTCTCCTGCAAATGTACCAGTTAGAGCATTGAGACAAACCATGTAACACTGACTGGTGCTTACAGAGATCAGTTTTTATTTGTTAAACCTTAATCCCAAGCAATTAGTAACAAATCTGTTGCTGTAACTCTGCTGTGCTCATTGATCCAGAGGGGAGATATTCCAATACGGGAGGTGTGTTACTGGCCGCAAGCAAACTAATGCAGCCACCACATCTAATGATTGGCAAGCTGCAATATATTACATTTTGTATGAAGAGGGACGGTCCCCAGGAGTTAGAGAGGAATAGTTTGTAGTGAGTGGCCTCAGCCATCACACTGACCATGTCATCTGACACGTTTTGCCCCGCCCACAGGGGGTTGGTCACAGGCTTCAGCCTCGACCGGCTCCAGAAGCACACTTATATTACATTTTTGTTTTAATACTGCTTTAGCCTAAAATAACATATTTTTATGTACTTTGAGAAGCTGAAAAATATGAAGCGTTTATGTGCATCAGCTGATTAAATTCTATATAATTTTATATTGTTGACGGCTGCATAGATCATTTCTATCCAGCTGATTGCATTCTACCTGTTTTCCTGCTGTAGTTATCTTTGCAGAAGTAGCATGTCTGCAAATGCTTTTGTACATTTCCACTGCTGCCACCTTGAACAGAAATGTCATGTCATTATTAGCTGCCTACCCTACCTGTAGTTGAGCTGCTTCTTTATTATCATAACACAAACATATCAGCTTTCAGGCACAAAAAAACTCTTTAGTTTTAGGCTTGTGCTAAAATATATGAATTTCCTAGTTTTATAGTGTTGTAGATGTTTTCCTTATATTAGAAGTTTATGTGGCAGCTACTTGCTGCATTTATTGTGACTACTTCCATCTTCAACAGAGATACCATGCCATTAAAGTGACCCTGTCGCGTACAGTACAAAAAATAAACGAGCCACTTTGTGAAAACATTTTGCATGCTTGTTTTTTTTTGGTGGGTGGCGATTAACTTCTTTGCAATCTTGAAGGGCTCGGAGGCGCTGCTCTTTGACACTTTAGAATGTGTCAGCATGTTCCCCACAGGGCATTGTGATACCACCCACCAACTGCAGCAGTACTGCAGAACACTGTTGTAATACATTGACACGTTATATCACTTTTTTTATTTCAGGAAACAAATTTTAGTTTTCTATTTGCACGAATTGCAGTTTACAGTCGATATTTAGGCATGAGTTAAAGTTTCTTACTAGGACATTGGCAAAATAACTGAAAAGAGAACTTTACAGTCACGTGAATAAAATTAAATCCACACTTCAAGCAGTAATAGCCACTTGCAGCAGTTTTTAAGTTCATTTAATGATGCCGTGAATGTAATTGGGGGGGTTCACATTGTTAAATGCTAGCGTATATGCAGATAGACAATTAGCACTGAGTAATAGTAAATTACTATAGGCACAACAATGTTTAAAGTGTTGCTAAAACCCAAGACCCTGCATTCACTATATCTGATCTCCCACAGTACACAGATCGTGGAAGTGCAATTATTTTAGTAAATATAAACTGCTAAATACTTTTTCTCATCAGCAGTTAGAGCAGTCTTGTGACTTTTCTCATTGTCCCAGAGAGCACTGGTTAAAGCTTTTAGGAGTTTTCATTCTGCTGTAGGAGGATGCAGAACCCCTGACCTCTGTCTGGACAGTGTTTATTGGCCCTGTGCTGTTGCACTCTCCCAAGAAGAAAAAAAAACCTCTCTAGCAATACACACCAAACTGTGCAGAGTGACTCCATACGATAAGTCTTATCTGGAAATAAGGGGATAGAATGAAAACAGGTGGCGCACACACCTAGTGCATTATCCAAGGTTTATTGTAGGAATGAGATAATAAAAAAATACAGACGAAGCATGTATCTAAAAAGCAAAGAACTGTCTGTCAGGCATCAACATGAGGCTCTCTGTCCATACATCATACATCAGCATCAGAGGTTGGTCATCAGTTGGTCATTGGATTCATCCCCGAAACGCGTCAGCCATTTGACCGCACTGACAGAACACCTTGCCTGCCGTTGTGGCCATTGTCATTTTTCTTTGCTTTTTAGATACATGCTTCATCTGTGAGTATGTTTTTATTATCTCATTCCTACAATAAACCTTGGATAATGCACTAGGTGTGTGTGCCACCTGTTTTCTCTCTATCCAGTGGCTGATTTCCCCGTCTGAGGAGGGCTGCACCCCTGGAACATTTCCTTTTGGTTGTCGCTGTCCTGGTACCCTTGGCTTCCCTTTTGGCTGTGCATATCCTGAGGCGCTGGAGAGTACATACGATATCCGGTTCGGTTGGAAATAAGGGGACACTGGAAGAAGGGGAGGATCAGAGAAGTCAGGAATAGCCTTTTTGCACAATGTAGAGAATTAACCCCTTAGTATAACAATCATGCTTTACTGCATGAGCAGACTGATTTTACTGTTGTGGGTTTAGTAACACTTTAATATGAACACTGGAACACTGCATGTGGGAAAGGGTAACTAAATGCTGGAGAAGTGGTTACATACAAGAGTATTATGTAATCTGTAGTTACTGCTGTGGTTTATAATTTGATGGGAATAAAAAGCAGTAGGGGAATAGTTAAGGAATTGGATTAGTCTTGTTACAAGCAAACTATGATTTTCCATATTAATTTTATTGAGCTTTGTTCCCCAGTGCCCAGAAGTACGGCTGAATATTATATCTAACCTAGACTGCGTCAATGAAGTTATTGGAATACGGCAGCTTTCTCAGTCCCTCTTACCAGCCATTGTTGAGCTGGCAGAGGACACCAAATGGAGGGTGCGGCTGGCAATCATTGAGTACATGCCTCTGCTTGCTGGTCAGTTGGTAAGTACCTGCTACATACAAATACTCAGCATAAAACAAAATAAAATCTAATATTTTGGTTGAAGATTGATTTTAAAATACAAGAAGGAAACCCATGCAAACATGGCACCTTTTTCTAGGTCAGCATGTTGATCACTTTGGTATCATGCTTTCTATATTCTTTGTTAGATTTCCATCATCCTCTGCATACAAGCAGAAATATTAGATCATGGTTAAGCAGCATTACAGAGTTCACTAATGCAGTCTCACTACAATACACTGCCACTAATCTACAGAGTTAAACAGCCGATCCAGAAAACAAGTAATTATTTAGATTTCTTTGTTGCAATTATTAAAACCTAAAATGGTTGTAAACCTCTGATATGAAATGTGAACAAAGCATATCTCTCTGTGACGGGTAGGCAGCCTTTTGGAGGTTGAGATGTACCTGGACAACATGGAGGAAATAAAAAAAATCAAAGGAGGTTGGGGAGCGGCTCCCATCAAAAAAAGTTTCCAGTAGTTTCCTCTGTCCCTTCACATCATTCCCCCCAATGCTGGAGACAGTTTATAGCACACACTAATTTTGGTACCATAATTATTCATGTGAAATGTACTGTTTTTTTTTTTTCTTTCTTTTTTTTGGTTAAAAAACATTAATTTTTATCTGTTATATGTAAAGTTTCAGTCGAAGGACTACTTGGTCTGATTCTCACCAAATATCATGGTAAATGATCAGGCAATATATGCCCACCGTAAATTATTACAGCTCTGTCTGTTTTCAGTAATGTTGGTTATGTGTTATAGCTAAAATGGTTCTCCCATTCTTTGTTTTCAGGGTGTTGAGTTTTTTGATGAAAAGCTGAATTCTTTGTGCATGGCTTGGCTTGTTGACCATGGTAAGTGTTTCAGATGTGCCAAGATAATGTTATTAATTATGTCTCTGTCTAAGTTCCTGTGACCGATTTAATCAGTCTGCAATTCTTATCATAATGAGCCTTAACAGGAACTGCAGTTGACATCACTGTTAGTTTGGATTTCACAAAAGCTCTTTGATTTGGACAGTTTTCTATGATAAGGCTGTATTGCAGCTCTAGGATTACAGATTTAAATGGCTGAAAATTTCCATAGAAGTTAAAAATTGAATTGTTAAATTTTCTAAGAAAACAAAGGTTCACAGTTTAAGCTAGAAGAATAATGTACCATGGTTTCCGCATCAAATTTTTTGGACTTGTGGGGAAGAACCAAGTATAGCAACCAATCCTCTTACAGTGATCAGAAAGCTGGAAAGTGGAGGTGGGTTACTGAACGTTGCGATTTTGCTTTAACTATTTTAACTCTTCCCACTGCTTACCTATGCAAGGCCCTGTGTGGATGTTACCTGTGTACCTGTTTGACATAAATGCTTGTCTCATAATAGGTATGCAGATAGTTCTGTTGATGTGCTGTGTGGTCTGTTTGGATACAATTCTGAGGTTTAATTGCAATGGAATACTGGAATTTGACAAAACCACAAACCAATTTGCATAAATCATGGATTCATCCAGTAAATGTTACAATTTCTGGAAAGTTCAGTGTTAAACTGAAAAATGAATAAATAAATCCTTTAAGGAGCAAGTTAATGTACTTGCCTTTCCTCCAACTTCTATATTGCAGGAGGGTGATATCACCGTCCTGCTGATGAGATCCCGGGGAACACTGAGTAGCTCAAATCTCATGAGAGGACTCTGCAGTGCAGGATTATCTTTTCATAAGATTTGAGCTGCTCAGACATTTCTTGAGGTCCAGTTAGACAGATGTCACTCGCCTAGGTGTGGGGGGAAGAAAGGTAAGTGGCCTGCAAGATGTTTTTGAGCTGAAAGCTGACAGTAAAGTTTATGATGAATAATTCAGTTATGAATCCTAACACAGAACTGTGTTACAGATTTTAGATGTGTGCTGCTGATGCAGCCTGTGTTCTGATGACTATAGAGAGATTTAAATGGTTATTACCACTGTTTCGCCACAGTATTCTGATAAGCTGGAAGAAAGTACTTGATATTGATACCACCATGCCTTCCTGATTTCATTTTTGTCTGATTATTGAAAGGGTTGATAGGGATGTCACTGGTAATACCATAGAAGTACACGTGCTCAAACTGCAAAGTAAATTGAAGGTAAATATATTTGAATATTAACCTTCCTCTTACCCAAGTAATTTTAGTTACAGCTGCAGAAGAATACAGAAAAATCACTTTTAAGTTCCGCACGTGAGAGAACAATAATGTATTGATATATTGCACAAGGAGATGACCTATATGTTACCTAATAGTTGATAATGGTTTGTACACCTTTTTGCATGGTTCCGTCCATGTAATTACCCATACGGGGCCTATTCCCAGTTCATGCTGCCATATCCTGCCTGTTGGTCCAAACCTTAGAGATGAGTGGGATGCCAGTATATCTGCCAGCAGCAGTTATAACCTTTGACTGTCTTCTTAAGTAAAACTTTGGTAAAACCAGCTAATACACAGTCTTACAAGCATTTATATAGCACTGACAATTTAGGCAGTGCTTTACAATACTGTACATTCACATGTCCCTGCCCTCAAAGGGCTTTCAGTCTCTGGTCCCCATCTTGTATGCATACACACATGTGCATTAGGCTAATTAGGACACAAGCCAGTTAGTCTACTAGCATGTTTTGATGTGCTGGGAGGAAACTGGAGCACCTGGAAGAGAACCAGGTGCTGCCCGACTGAACTCATACACTGTGTGCACAATTATTAGGCAAGTGAGTGTTTAGAATAAATCATAATTTTTATGCATATTGTCCAACTCCAAGCTGTATAAATTTGAATGCATATTGGATTTAAGCATATTAGGTGATGTATATTTGTGTAATTAAGAAGGGTGTGGCCTAAGGAGTTCAACAACCTTTATCAAGGCGTATATAATTATTAGGCAGCTTTTTTTTTCCTCAGGCAAAATGGGCCAAAAAAGATCTGACTCTGAAAAGTCAAAAATTGCGTGATCGCAGAACCATCAACTGTTTTGTTGCAAATAATCAACAGGGTCACAAGAAATGTGTTGAGAAAAAGCCTCAAATTAACTGCCAAAGATTTGAGAAGGCCCAAAGGTGAAGCTACCTGGAACCTATTATCCTCAAGTGCTATCATATTCCAGAACTGCAACCTACTTGGAGTGCCCACAAGTACAAGATGTTAAGTGCTCAGAGACGGGGCCAAGGTAAGGAAGGCTGAAACCCAACCACCACATAAGTTGAAACATCAAGAGTAGGCCAAGAAATATCTGAAGTCAGATTTTTTCAAAGGTTTTATGGACTGATGAGTTGAGTGACTCTTGAAGGACCAGATGGATGGGCCCATGGCTGGATCAGTAACAGGCACAGAGCTCCACTTCGACTCAGACGCCAGCCAGGTGGAGGTGGAGTACTATTATGGCCTGGTATAATTAAAGATGAGTTAGTTGGACCTTTTTTGGGTTGACGATGGGCTCAAACTCCCAAACCTACTGCCAGTTTTTAGAAGACGCTTTCTTCAAGCAGTGGTATAGGAAAAAGTCTGCATCTTTCAAGTAGACCATGGTATTTATGCAGGACAATGCTCCATCAGATGCATCGAAGTACTCCACTGCATGGCTAGCCAGTAAAGGCCTTAAAGATGAAGGAATAATGACATGGCCCTCTTCCTCACCTGACCTAAACCCTGTTGGGAATTTGTGGGCTCTTCTTAAACAGGAGATTGAAAGAAAACGGTACACTTCTCTGAACAGTGTCTGGCAGGATGTGGTTGCTGCTTCACAAAAAGTTGATTGTCAACAGATCAAAAAACTGTCAGACTCCATGAATGGAAGGCTTATGACTGTTGAAAAGAAGGGTGGTTATATTGGTCACTGATTTCTTTTTGAAATGTCAGAAATGTTTATTTGTAACTTTTGAGTTGTTTATTATTCTGATTTTAACAGATGAAAATAAAAAAGTGAGATGGGAAACGTTTCGTTTTTCATTTATTTGCATAATAATTCATATAACACTAATAGTTGCCCAATAATTGTGCACACGTAGATATTCTCCTATTAAAACCTCACTTTTACTTTCTTAAATATTCACATTTGAGGTTTATTAACATTTTGGATTGACCAAGAGCACTTTAGTTCAATAATGAAATTAATCCTCAAAAATACACCTTGCCTAATAACTGTGCACGCAGTGTATTTATGAATTCTACCCTGTTGATTTACTGTTCTGCTTAGCCAGTCTTGTGATTCACACACGTCCTTATTGTCTTTGTTCTTGAGATTATATTTTACTTATGTTTTCAAGTGATGAAAGTTTGCAAAAACTGCCCGTCATGGAAATATTAAATAAATAGCTTTTAGGAAGTTGGTAATCCAGTGCTTTATTTACGTTATTTACAGTGGTTTATTTACGTTATACCTGCATCAGGCTATGGAGGAATAGTTTGTTTTTTAAGACTGTACAGTTAAAAGGCTTAATTACTATTCACATAGCACATCTATAACAGGATGTTGTGTTTTGTCTGGAGTTCCAGCTGCTTTGTAGAAAAGGGTTTATGGAATTTATTACTGCCTACTATGGTTTTTTTTCTGGTGTATGGATTGTGCTGTTATGACGAGCGTTTCTACTAAAGACTTTGGTAGTTTAAAATTGAAACTGCACGGACAATGCAGGTGGACATACTTTTATATGATTTATTATTATTTTACTGCTCTGGCCAAAAGTTTTGAAAATGACACGTTAACCACCTCCCGCCCACCATATAAGGAAATGACGGATGGGCGGTGGTTCTCTCTCGTTCTGGTAGGATGTCATATGACGTCCTCTTACAGTAACCGCATGTGCGCGCCCCTGGGGGCGCCCGGTGATTGGTGGTGCTCTGTGTCCGTGGGACACAGCGGATCACAGATCAGCGGAAAGAGCCGATGACTTCGGCTCTGTCATGTGATCAGCTGTGTCCAATCACAGCTGATCGCATGTAGACAAGGAAATGTCAATTATCGGCATTTTTCTGCTCATGAGCTTCAGTGTAGCCCCATCAGTGCCACCTGTCGGTGTCCATCAATGCCACCTATGAGTGCACATCAATGCCACATATCGGTGCCTACCAGTGCACATCAATGCCACATATCAGTGCCTACCAGTGCACATCAATGCCACATATCAGTGCCTACCAGTGCACATCAATGCCACATATCCGTGCCCATCTGAGCGGCCTAACAGTGCCAGTCAGTGTGGCCTAACAATGGCAGTCAGTACTGCCTATCCGTGCCATATATGAGTACTGCCTTTCAGTGCCCATAAGTGGTCTGTCAATGCATATCAGTGCAGCCCATCAGTGCCCATATGGGTATAATATTGCATGACCACGCAATTGTCTGTCATTCTAAGTGCGACAGCACTGAAAGCTGAAAATTGGCCTGAGCAGGAAGGGGGGTGAAAGTGCCCTGTAGACAAGTGGTTAATTTACCTGCAAGGAAACGTGTGCAGTCATCATTGCTTTGCACAAAAAGGGATTCACAGGCAAGCATATTGCTGCTATTGAAATTGCACCTAAATCAACCTTTATCGAATCATCAAGAAGTTCGAGCAGAGAGGTTCCGTTGTTGTGAAGAAGCCTTCTTCTGGGAAAGTCCAGCAAGCACCAGGATCATCTAAAGTTGATTCAACTGCGGGATCAAGGCACCACCAGTGCAGAACTTGCTCAGGAATGGCAGGTGTAAGTGCATCTGCACGTAGAGTGAGACAGACTTTTCGAGGATGGCCTGATGTCAAGGGCTGCAAAGAAGCCACTTTTCTCCAGTAAAATCATCAGGGACAGCTTGATATTCTGCAAAAGGTACAGGGGTTGGACTGCTGAGGACTGGGTAAAGTAATTTTCTCTTAGTTAGGGCATCCAGAAGAAAACCTTGTCCGGAGAAGAAAAGGTGAGCACGACCATCAGTCCTGTGTCATGCCAACAGTAAAGCATTCTGAGACAATTCATGTGGGGGGTTGCTTCTCAGTCAAGGGAGTGGGCTCACTCAAAATTTTGCCTTAGAACAACATGAATAATGAATGGTACAGAAGCATCCTCTGAGAGCAACTGCTCCCAGCTATCCAAGAACAGTTTAGTGACGAACAATGCCTTTTCCAGCATGATGGAGCACCTTGCCATAAAGCAAATGTGATAACTAAGTGGCGTGGGGAACAAACATCGAAATTTGGGTCCATGGCCAGGAAACTCCCCAGACCTTAATTAACAACTTTTGGGCAATCCTCAAGAGGCGGGTGAACCAAAAAAAAAACCCCACAAATTCTGACACACTCCAAGCATTGATTATGCAAGAATGGGCTGTCATGAGTCAGGAAGTGGCCCAGAAGTTGATTGACAGCATGCCAGGGGGAATTACAGAGGTCTTGAAAAATAAGGGTCAACACTGAAAATATTGACTCTTTGCATAAACTTTAATGTAATTGTCAATAAAAGCCTTTGACACTTATGCAATGCTTGTAATTGTAATTATAATTCAGTATACCATAGTAACATCTGACAAAAAGATCTAAAAATACAGGGCTGTACATTATTATACAGGATCTACTTAGCGCCAACAATTTGCGCAGCTCTTTACAAAATGAATTTTAGACATTTTTGTAAATTCTTTTATTTATGAAAGTGATTCAGAGCAGACTGATTTATCAGAAACGTAGCTTGTACTAGCTAACTCCAAAGAAGGTACTGGATACTTGACAAATAATATGGCATGGAGTCAGGGCAAACAAAATGTTGTGGTGCTTTGATTGTGGTTTTAATGTATCTGCCTTTGGTCTGGTACTGGAACCAGGTGGGAGGGGAGAGGATGGTAACGGAGAGGGGGGGAGCAGCTCTCCCTCAGGTGGCTTTGGACTTGTTATCTAGGGTTATTATTCACCTTGTAGGTGGGCTTTATATTCTGTTGAGAACATTAAATTGTTCCAGTGGAAATGTGTTGCAGTATGAGTCCTGTCTGTTTTGGGAGGAGAGTATAAGATCTTCCATTTGCCTAATGTCTTCTACTCTGTATCCACAAGGATATTTGTGGAAGGGTCCTTCCATCATAGGGGGATACAGGATTTGGAGGCAATCAGGTGGCAGAGCATAGATTTCTAGTATTTTTTGGTGGAAATGCAGTGGTGGTGCAGGAGAAAGAAAGAAAGAGAGAGCGCGGTCATCTGGGATGTGATAGTCCTTAAATTTGTGGGTCAGTTCTCTGACTTTGCTCCAGAAGGTTTTAAATATCGGGCAAAACCAGAAGATATGGAGGAGCAAACTGCCTTTTGAGTTGCATCAGGGTTTTTAGATATGTTTTGGTAGTATTTGTGGTTGATTGTCAGAGTCCTGTACTAGTGAGTTAAGATTTTTGCAATTGGTTTCTTGTAATTTGGTACTTTTAGAGGATTTTAAAATGCAGTAGAGTATCTTTTATCTTCTGGTGATTTATATAGATATTTTTTTTTTTTTTATTTCTCAGTCTGGTTTAAAATAGTAATACTAAACCCACAACAGTAAAATCAGTCTGTATATGCAGTAAAGCATGCTTGTTATACTCACTGTGGAACCCAAGGGGTTAATCCTCTGCACTGTGTAAAAAACACTGTTTGATCCTGACTTCTCTGATCCTCTCCTCCCGGTGCCCCCTCTTATCCCCTAATAAGACATATCAAGTGGAGTCACTCTGCACATGCCCAGTTTGGTGTTTATTGCTGGAGAGGTGTATTTTTGTTTTTTTTCTTTTTTCTTGGGAGAGCATGTGATCAGCACAGGCCAATCAGCACTGTCCAGACAGAGGTCCTGCATCTTCCTAGAGCAGAATGAAAACTCTTCCTGCAAGCTTTAGCATGTACTTGGCTGGACACTGATAGCAGTTCCAAGACTGCTGTTGAGAAAGTATTTAGAAGTATATTTCCTAAAATAATTGCATTTCCATGTTCTGTGTACTGTAGGAGACCCAGATATAGTGAATGCAGGGTCCTGGGGTTAGTAACACTTTTTTTAAATAGTGCAATGTTTTATGTTCTACTAAATGGTATTGAAAGATTATGATGATTGATATTTTTTTTTTCTTTTAAAGTTTATGCCATCCGAGAAGCAGCAACCAATAATCTTATGAAGTTGGTGGAAAAATTTGGTGCAGAGTGGGCCCAAAATACCATTGTGCCAAAGGTTTTGGCAATGGCAAATGATCCAAACTACTTGCATCGAATGACAACACTTTTTTGTGTCAATGTAAGTATTCTTAATTTATTCCGTTTTTTTTTTTTTCTAACTGTAATCTGTACTCTAATCTTTTAACTGTATTCAGCATATAATAGATTTGGATTGCGGATTATAAAATAAATACACTTGTAAGCATTCTTTCCATTATAGAATGTAAAAAGTAGCAAGAAAAAACTGGGAATATGCAGTTTGAGTGACCGCAAGAGCACACGCTATTTGTATTACAGTGTATATAAAATGTCAGGTTTCTGTGATGTAAAAAAAATGACAGATAAAAAATTTCAGAACTTTTCCCACCTTTTTAATGTAACCTATAAACTGTACAGTTCAATTGAAAAACAAACTGGAGAAAATATGGTGCTACAGTGAAATTACCAAGAACTGGACGTCCCTCCAAAATTGATGAAAAGACAAGAAGAAAACTGGTATGGGAGGCTACCAAGAGGTCTACAGCAACATTAAAGGAGCTGCAGGAATATCTTGTAAGTGGTAAATGTGACAACAATCTCCCGTATTCTTCATATGTCTGGGCTATGGGGTAAAGTGGCAAGACGGAAGCCTTTTCTTACGAAGAAAAACATCCAAGCCCGGATAAATTTAGCAAAAACACATCTGATGAAACCAAGGTTGAACTTTTTGGCCATAATTCCAAAAGATGTTTGGCCCAAAAACAACACTGCACATCACCAAAAGAACACCATACCCACAGTGCAGCATGGTGGTGTCAGCATCATGCTTTAGGGCTGTTTTTCTTTAGCTGGAACTGGGGCCTTAGTCAAGGTAGAAGAAATTATGAACAGTTCCAAACACCAGTCAATATTGGCACAAAACATTCAGCTTTCTGCTAGAAAGCTGAATATGAAGAGGAACTTCATCTTTCAGCATGACAATGACCCAAAGCATACATCCAAATCAACAAAGGAATGGCTTCACCAGAAGATGATTAAAGTTTTGGAATGGCCCAGCCAGAGCCAAGACCTGAATCCAATCGGAAATCTGTGGGGTGATCTGAAGAGGGCTGTGCACATGAGATGCCCTCGTAATCTGATTTTGGAGTGTTTGTGCAAGGAGGAGTGCGCAAATATTGGTAAGTCAAGATGTGCCATGCTGATACCCATACCCAAAAAGACTGAGTGCTGTAATAAAATTAAAAGGTGCTGCAACAAAGTATTAGTTTAAGGGTGTGTACACTTATGTAACCTTATTATTTTAGTTTTTTATTTGTACTTCCCTCCACCTAAAATATTTGTTTGTTGCTCAACTGAGTTGTACAGTTTATAGGTTACATTAAAGGTGGAAAAAGTTCTGAAATGATTTATCTTTGTCTAATTTTTGCATCACAGAAACCCGACATTTTAACGGGTGTGTAGACTTTTGATATCCACTATATGTTTGGGTGGGCAGTGGAGGGAAGTTCAGCTGCTCATGTGCATGTGTCCCATGCAGCAGCCCCATTGTTCTTTATTCCTGGTCTAGAGACTATGGCTGACAGCCGCACAAGCCTATGGCTTCCGCTGCTCTCAAATACCTGTGAGGAGTGAGGGGGGAAGGATTTACTAGCGATGTGTGTGTTTGTGGATGTGCACAGCCTGACTTGGGATCGTTCCCACAAGGGTGCCCCCTCAGCACCACACTTGCTGAGGGGACACCCAGAAGAGAGACTGCTCCAGTGTATCACCCCCCCTTTCTCCCCATATACTCTATATACTTACCTGAGTCGCTCGCTCTCTCGCTTGAGAGAGAGGCAGCCCTGCTGCTGTCAATCAAATCCTATAGACACACACAGCTTGGCTTGGGAGCGAGCCTGCAGGTGCATCATAGGAGGTGGCTTCCCCCCCCCCTTCCCACAGACAAACTGTGTGTGTGCAATTTTGATGTAATGTTTGTTTTTTACATTTACTATTTTTTGTAATTAACTTTTACAATTCTTTTGATCAATGAAAGAAATACAAAGATATGAAAGCAGTACATCCTAAATTAATTGTGGGCTAGATATTATTATTATTATACAGTTTTTTATAAAGCTCCAACAGTTTGCTCAGTGCTGGGACAGAACATGTGACAGTACAGTAACAATAGAATGCAAAACACGAGGGGTTCGAGGGCCCTGCTCTTTCGAGCTTACAATCTAGATATATGAAATAACTTGACACTAAAAATAATAAGATATATATGCTGTAAAACATTGAGTACGCCATTGAGTACTCGTGCACTCCCTGATTGTCTCGCGCCTTGACTACTGCAACTCCCTCCTCACCGGCCTACCCCAGTGCAGGCTCTCCCCGCTTCAGACCATCCTGAACTCACCGGCTAGACTCATCCACCTCACCACTCGCTCCACCTCTGCCACCCCTCTCTGCCTATCCCTCCACTGGCTCCCGTTTGCCCAACGCTACAAATTCAAACTGCTAACTCTGACCTACAAAGCCATTCAAAACACTGCCCCTACCTACCTCACCAACCTGATTCCCAAATACCACCCTAACCGTACCCTTCGCTCCTCACAGGACCTCCTTCTGTCTTGCTCCCTGGTCTCCTCCTCCCACGCACGACTGCAAGACTTCTCCAGGTCCTCCCCCATCCTCTGTAACTCACTACCCCAATCCATCAGATTGTCCCCTTCCCTCCTCACCTTCAGGCGCTCCCTGAAAACCCACCTCTTCAGGGAAGCCTACTCCACCCTTACCTAACAGCTGTCCTCCTTCATTCCTCCTACCACTCCACCCCCCACAGCCACTTCCTCCTGTACCTCTACCCCCTCCCTCCTAGATTGTAAGCTCGAAAGAGTAGGGCCCTCTAACCCCTCGTGTGCTGTTTGTTGTTGTTGTACTGTTTCATGTATTGTCCCCCCCTCTATTGTACAGCGCTGAGCAAACCCTTTGGCGCTATATAAACTCTATGTAATAATAATAATAAGTTAAACACAGATGCTACAGCTTAGAAAATTTAGAAAGAATCTACCTCTATTTGGCATTCCTTAGCAAACAAAGGTCTGTCTATTGGTTTCACGCAAGATTAACATAACTTTCACCCAAAATTCACTCTAATTGGATTCAGTTGGAAAAAAAAATGTGGGAATCATATGAAAACATTTTTAAATAGACCTCTAATGTTCCCAGTGAAGGGGGGGGGGGGGGGGGGGTTTGGTGGTGCGAAATTAAAATGCTGATATTCTCTGGAAATAATTATAAACTTTACATAGTTAGTCTGGCTAAAAAAAGACAAAAGTCCATCCGGTTCAACCATAGAAAAAAAAAGTTATAACCCTATACCCACAGTTGATCCAGAGGAAGGCAAAAAAAAACCCAGCAAAGCATGATCCAGTATGCTCCTGCTGGGGAAAAAAAAAATCCTTCCTGATCCACCGAGAGGCAATCGGATATTCCCTGGATCAACTTTACCTATAAATGTTAGTATCCAGTTATATTCTGTGTATCTAAGAAACAATCCAGGCCTTTTTTGAAGCAATCTACTGAGCTGGCCAGAAGCAACTCTTGAGGGAGTCTATTCCACATTTTCACAGCTCTTACTGTGAAGAAACCTTTCCGTGTTTGGAGATTAAATTTATTTTCCTCCAGACGTAAAGAGTGCCCCCTTGTCCTCTGTGATGACCTCAGGGTGAATAGCTCTACACTGAGTTCACTATATGAACCACTGATGTATTTATACATGTTGATCATATCCCCCCTTAATCTCCTCTTCTCAAGAGAGAATAAATTCAGTTTCTCTAATCTTTCCTCATTGCTGATCTCCTTGCCTCTTATCAGTTTTATTTACCCTTCTCTGTACTTTTTCAAGTTCCCTAATGTTCTTTTTTTTTTTTTTTGTTGAATTGGTGCCCAAAACTTTATGGAATCACATGAGAATTTCTGAAACCGATGCCTGAATTTTTTTCTTTTTTTCATATTTATGCATTTTGGGTTAAAATTAAACAATTTTTTTTAGTTTCCAAAGTTATTTCTTTGGACCCTCCACAATGGTTTTGGAATAACAAATGTTTAATGGCTTAAAAGCCATTAAACCAGAAAATGTAGATGGAGATCAGGAATTCTGACTGTAGTATGATTCCCCCTTGCTGCATGCGTATTTGGAATGACCCAAAGTAATGGAATCAGAGCATGAAGGACTGGAGTTGATTTGTTTTATACAAGGACAGCAAGTCAGGTCTGTCAGCCCACACCCGTACAGTGTCCCTATTTTGTTGTTACATATTTGATATGTTGGTCTCCATGAACACCTGTTATTCCTTGGGGCACACTTGAAATGTCCAGATTTTTGTTGGGCAATCAGTGGTCATTCAGGTGCAAGCATAAGGCTTCTCACTTTCCTGGCAGGCCCCACTCCTTTATCTAAATTTTCAGCTCTGATGCTAAACAAAATGCCTCAACTTGTAAATGAGACAAGTGTTTTTTCCTACCAGGAATGACAATTCAATCTTGTGGGCCACATTGTGGATTAACACAGCTTTGTAATTCTGTCCTTGATATTCTTGCTGTACATGTTTTCATAAAATTTATATCCATTGAAAACAATTATTCATCTGCGCAAACCCTTCATTTGCTGCTACCACAAAATCTAGTTGGATCTGTAAAACGTTTCCAGTAAGATTTGGTATTGGCTTTGTATCACCACAATCAGTTTTTATTGTAGCAACTCGTGCAATGGCAGTTTTACACACTGAGGATTTAGTGTTATGACTTTTCCTATGATACAGTGATGGTGTTTTTTAAATGACTAGCATGAAGAACACCAGTCCAGTTGTTTCAGAACAGGTTCCTTTCGTTACAATGTTCACAACAAAACCTCATTATTGGTAGCATGAACTCTTATTCTGTTTAAAATAAATATGTATGTTTATTAACATGTAAGGCCATTGAGAAATAACATTTTATTCAAAGATATAATGTGGTAGGTGATTGCCCTACTAATGTATGTTACCTTTGTCTGTAGGCCTTGTCTGAAGCATGTGGCAAGGAAATCACCACCAAGTTGATGCTTCCTATCGTATTAAAGATGGCAGCTGACCAAGTGGCTAATGTTCGCTTCAATGTGGCTAAATCACTGCAAAGGATAGGACCAGTCCTAGATAGCAAGTATGTTTTTATTTTCCTCCTGTAAAGCACTGTCCTATATGCTGCACTGTATCTAAAACTATATTGATGATGCGTTCTTTATTTCAGCACGTTACAGTCTGATGTAAAGCCTGTACTGCAGAAGTTGGGTCAGGATGAGGATATGGATGTGAAATATTTTGCACAGGAAGCAATAACTGGTAGGTTTAATGAACAGTTAGATGTCTTCCACCATATTATTAAAGCTCAGACGCAAAAAGAAAATGTAGCTCTGTATTCATTAATCTTTACAGCTGAAAATGAGTGATTTATTTTTTTATTGAACACCAGGGAAGGTACTTACCATGAATGAAAGAGTATACAGTGTTGTAATTGCTGCTGTGTTAGATTGAAAAGCAGTTTTATTGATGGAGGAGGCATTCATACTCCCTATCCTACATTCATAGAGCATCTTTCATTGTGGAAACTGATCATATGGCCTCTATGAATGGAGGGCAGAGGATTTCGAATCTCAACCTAACACAATAGCCGCCAGCACACAGGACACTCTTCTCTTATGCCAAGTACCCACCTTGGCGCTGTTTAAAAAAAAAAAAAAAATCCTTAAACTTCAGTTGTTTTCTTTTAATGTAGATACTGCGAATGCCTAAATTAAACTTTATTTCTTTCTTGTGCAATTCTCCGTGCCACAGCCACAGACTGAGAAAGTTTAGGGCTGGGAGCTAACTAGGTGTGCTGTATGCAATTGAGCTGAAAATTAGTATGGTCTTTGGAGGTGCAGAGAGATTACCTAGGTCTGCTGCTGCTCTTTCACTGTCCAATCAACAGGTTTAAAGAAGAGCCTGTGTTGTACTCCTTTTCTAAAACACTGAAGCAGTCCTTTTAATGCTCTGTAGTTCCCCCTTCTGTGCATAACTTGCAGATATCAATCACCTTGATATCAGTCTGTAGATAAATATTGTACATTTTCAGAGGCATGCAGTTTTTATTTTCATTAAATTAGTCCCATAGCTCATCCACAGTCATCCTGATTATTATTATACAGTATTTATAAAGCGCCAACAGTTCGCTCAGCACTGTACATTACAATGGGAGACAGAACATGCACCAGTACAATAACAATACAATGTGATACACGAGGGGTTCGAGGGCCCTGCTTCTTCGAGCTTACAATCTAGGAGATAGAAAAATGTTTTCTATATAGGTCTGTGGATTTATATACCTGTATTTGTTAGGGCTTTTTTACTCTCGTCTGTTTTTGTAAAATATAAAATTCTCCCTTTGTCTCATTTGCAGTTCTTGCTTTGGCATAAGAGGATGCCAGGACCATGCCCCCACCCCACTGTTTGTTGAGTGTGTAGTAGGAAGATTGTTTTGGAACCGCAGAACAACCTGTCAAGACCTCAAGGATACAAAACGGCAACTACTGTTGGAAGACCACATTCTCTGCACATGTGCCTCTTCTAAAAGACTTTTTTTTTTTTTTTTTTCCCCTCCTTTTTAACTATTTTATTTATACAATTCCAATTTCTTGTCTTCTTGGCATTTCTGCTGCAGAAGTCTTATTTGCTACTGGTGGTGGTTAGTGTACTAACAAATTATTGGTGGTTCCTAGGAATGGCAGAAACGTGGTCAGAATCCTGTATCAAAGTTGAGGATTTTTTTTTTTGGAGGCGTTATGGGTGCTGATTTAGATTTAAAATTTGGATCCAAGATGTCTTTAGAGGTCAGTTAAATCTGCATTTGGAAAGAAGACTGCTAGCCAGTCATGGGTAAATTTAATGAGAAACAAATTATACTATCTTATAAATGAGAAATGGCTTGCTATTTCTTCAGTGTCTTGAACAGACTTGTAATTAGAGTACATTTTTAGGATTTCTTCAGTGTTTTATCAGTTGATGAGCAACTGCATCAAATGCAATTTCTAATGTGTGACAGGAATCCACTGTCACACATTAAATTATTAAAGGGGCATTTTTATGAGTGCTCCCCACCTGCCTGAAAAGCAGCTACAGTTCCCTCAAATCAGTAGGCTTTATAATACTGTAGTTCAGAAGATAGCATTCTGTTGCAGACAGTCCTTCCACTTAATCCTACATCTCCGGGTGCTGGCTCCAGGAATTTGCTGGCCACTCCATAGATTCCACCTGCAGAATCACAGAAAAAAGGGTACACTCCAGAACTGGTAACCCACGTTAGTGCTTCTGCGAACCAGGTGGAACAGTTTGTATATTGAAAAGTTTAATAAACTCTGCTTTTAACGGTGAGCGGCTTCCCCCTTTTTTTTGTGAGTCTGTCAGTGGAGCAATAAAATGTTTTGTGGGGGAGTAACATCAGAGATTGAGGTAGATTGGACTTGGTGTCAGTGCTGCTAACTTGGTAGGTAGCAGAGGGTTGAAGAGTGGCTGTTGCTATAGCTGTGGTCAGACTGATAAAGGCATTCTCGTATTTTACATACTAAATCTCAGATTTCGGATATTCTAATTGGAAGGTACATTGTAGAAGAATGACATTTAAAAGGGTCGGTAAAATCCTTCCATTAACATGACACTGCATCTCAACACTGCTGCAGAAAGTTGGCTTAACTCTAGGGAGTAACTGTGAACACCAAAAAGCTTATGACAAATGTGAGCACAGAATATTAATTACTTATTAAAAGTATTGTTCGTGACCTAGCTTTTTAGGTGGGTCTTGAATGTCTTTTAGAAACGGGGCTGTTACATACAACTTCCACTGAACCTGTAACTTATTTTAAAGACTACACAAAGTTCCTCCTGGGACCTCCTTCCCTTTTTTAACCTTTAATTGGTGATGTCTCTATAATGAAATGCAATGATTAATCCTTGTGTGTATCTGGCATGATGCGGGTGTATGCTTACAGACAGAAGAGCTCTTTGATGGCATTCCATGTTTGTGTTTTGAGCTGGTCCACTTTGCATCACATTGCCTGAACAGATGTCAATCCTGTTTTTAAAAATTAAATATTTCTCTGCAGGCAATGAGCGTGCACCTCAATCATCTCAAAAGAGCATTTTATTAAAGTGTAAAGTTGAACTGATCTGTCTTGTTTTGGGTCCCTCTTTTAAGGGATAGCTTGATGTTGACTGTAGAAATTGTAATGTAAGTGCTTGACAAAAAGGAAATAAACGTTTACCCTTCAATATTGGTGTCTTGCATTGCAAAATGTTTGGCTGTTGGAGTTCTGGTGTTCCTCTGTTCTGTGACTTTCCTCTGTTCTGTGGTTTAACTTGTTCTTTAACTCCCGGGGCAGACTTTGTTGTCCCGTTGCAGACATTGCAGTTAAGCTAACTGTATTTTTATGATACAAATATCTAGGATTTCAACAATCATTTTTAAGTGGCTCTTTTAGTAGCCTTGTTGTTTGAAGGTCTGCATGAATGAGTTGTAAATGCTGCAATTTACGACTATCGTTTTTCAGAAAAGCTGCACCTTTTATCCTTTAAAAAGTAGTTTCTGAGCTCCAAGCAAGTGACTTTACCTATGCTGTCTTAATGTCTTCATCCTGTTGCAGGTAAGATGAGCATTCCCCCAATATCCTCTTCCCTAGTGGTCAGACAGCAACATATTAACCTTATAACAAGTCACAAGGAGAGAGGCTGCAACAGGGGGTGATGGGTTAATAATTGTGAACACAGCCATGAGCTGCAGAAGCACCAGGATTTTTACACTGTCATCTCTATAAACTATCTGAGTCCAGGAAGTAGATACTGGTCCTGGATGATACCTGAACGAATATAGTGCTGTCCTTTGGGAATAAAAAAAAAAATCACATGGAAGCATTGTCAGGTGGAGTACTGTAATTTCCAAGCTGTAAACTGTATCTGTAAGTGTTAAACATTATGTACTATGCAAGCACTTAGCATGATATATATTAATCTAGAGTTGCTTTAGTTGGAATGCTCCAGAATTAATCGAACTGTGAAAAGAGAAGATTGGGTGTAGTGTGCAGTAGAAAGCACATCAACAAACACTTCTGTCCTTTCTGAAATTAGTGTTAATAAACCCACAACAGTATATTCAGTCTGTATATGCAGTAAAGCATGCTTGTTATACTTGCTATGGAACCTAAGGGGTTAATTCTCTGCATTGTGTAAAAAGGCTGTTTAATCTTGACTTGTCTTCTGATTAGACATATCATGTGGAGTCACTCTGCACATGCTCAGTTTAGTGTGTATTGCTAGAGAGGTTTTTTTTTTTTCTCTTAGAGTGCATGTGATCAGCACAGGGCTAATTAGCACTGTCCAGACAGAAGTCGTGGGTTCTGCATGCTCCTAGAGCAAAATGAAAGCTTCTTCAAGCTTTAACATGTGCTCTGCTGGACAATGATAGTCACAAGACTGCTCTAACTGCTGATGAGAAAAGATATTTAGCAGTTTGTTTACTAAAATAATTGCACTTCCCTGTTCTGTGTACTGTGGGAGACCAGATATAGTGAATGCAGGGTCCTGGGTTTAGTAACATTTTAAGTTGTCCTTGGAATTTATACACTAGCATGCAGCCACTCATGCACTTTCTCATAATTCTTTTTGCAGCATATACTTTAAAAATTAGTCTTAACATGGTTTTGCTATTAGTTTTTGCACACTGTTCACACAAGCATTTTGGGGCTACATCCTCTCAAATCAAACAGGACCTTCTTTCAGAATATACTGCATGCCCAGCATGAGAGTTTATTTTTGACTTCCATGTAGCATGCATCAAAACTAAATCAACTAAATCCAAAATTCAAAAATGTAATTTCTTAATGGTGCATCACAGAGAAGTGATGCATGACTAAGTTTTATGCTGCCAAAGTCAGGTTTGTAGACATGGTCAGAAAAAGGCAATAATCCCTGCTCAAGCATAACACCTCCCAGCTCCACTATGCCTCATTTTTGTATCCCAAAAATTGACCTCCCAAAGGGAAGGAAAGCTTTTGACAGTCTGAAATATGCCTTCCTAATTGAACCAGCTTTACAGTGGCCAGTTACCACTGAACCCTTCATGCTGTAAGTTGATGCCTTGTTATGCAGAAATCATCCACCCTACAATCTTCTGGTGCAGTTGAAGTTAGAACTAAGGCAACTGTCTCAGGCACTCCTCAAAAGTACCCGACTATGCCCCCCTTTCCACCCTGCTCTTCCATTCATTGAAGCCGTACTACAACTTCTATAAAAGGAAGATGGGCGGATGATTGAAAGATCTGCTTCCTCCATTCATAGATCATTTTTCATTCATAGAAGCTGTATTGTGGCTTCTATGAATGAGGAGTTGGGTGAAAAGCGCAGATGAGGGTCAAATGGCACTGGCAAGAGGCTTCTGGGTCAAGGCAGGCAGAGGGGAAGATCTTGAAGGTTTAACTGCAGTCTTGGGCCTTCACATGTTCTGGTGGCAAGTGGCTCCCGCAGAAAAGGGTCTACAAAGTGGGGGGAAAAAGGTAGTCCCAGTGTACAGAAAGTAGCATACTGCCTATATGGAACTTCAGTTCTAAGCGCCTAGTCCTAGGATCCAAGGTTCAGAAGGCCACTGCAGCACCACCACCTGGTGGGTTCAGTCTGTAGCTGGAACTTCCAGTAGCATGGCCTGATGTTCAGAGTCCTGAAAGAACCCTTCCACATCTCCCTTGTTCTCTTGATATGGTATAAAGTCTTTCCTGGAGAATCATAGGGTCTCTTATTTCAAGAGCTGGCACAGGTGCGGGTGCATAGTTTTTTTTAAAGTCTCCCACTCTTGTTGCTTCTGTTGGGCCTTTTCCATGGCTGCAAGTTACCTTTCTGTTGTGGCATCCTCTCTCAGAATGGCTGTCTCCTTATACCAGATAACCCACACGCCCTTACTGGCTTGACTGGGGGAGCTCTGGCACACCATCCCTGGGTTTTGGCTGACCAGTAGTGGTGCCCAACCCTTCCTGCTGGCTGGCTGGCTTCCCTGGCATGTGGAGTGTTTGGGGTATTCTGGAACACTGAAGGGGTGCATGATAACATTAAGTTACAGCCAGGGATGGGGCATGGCCAGCAGTGGGGATGTAAACAGCGCTGCTTAGGAGCTCTGGTGGCACTGCTACTCTCTTCCTGATCCTGAGGAAATGGCAAGCCTGCAATCCTTCCAGTTCCCAGGGATCTTGACTGCTGCCACCACCGATTTGGTGAAGATTGGGCACGGCTTCTCCAAACCCCCTGGGGGTCGCTCCTATCGGCCTTCCCCAAGCTGTTCCAAAGACTGCAGCAGACTGGTAGCTCCATGTGCTCTCCCCCAGCAGAAGAAGCACAGGTAGATGGGTGTGAGTGATTACGTTAAGAAGCCTGCAGCCCTG